GAGGGGGAAGAAAAATACCGCAGTCTCGATAAAACTTTATCGGACGAGCAAACACAGAGGGAAAGCGGGCTCGAATGACCTCATCAATCGAGTTCCGTGGAGACAGAGCTTATATAAGCTATCTGTAATATGATGACCATTATGAGGAATGAGGGCGGAATTCCCCCGCAGTTCATCAGAGTAAAAAGTCTCGGGGAACCCATTCGGAGAACTCGCTTCGGTCACGGCCCATTCCCCTTATGACTGCAATCAGGGGAATCAAAATAGAGGGAAATTGGCCTGTCTTTTTTAGGGCTTCCGTCTCGTTCCCATCGGATTTTCCGGCGACTCGGAACGGAATCATCCGTCGCAACTGGAACGACGGAATTAATGGGAAAAAAGAAAATACGGCTGACCCGGAAACCCGTTGCAACGGAAGACCCAAAAAACGCTCTACATATGCAGACGAGCAAAACCCGGTGGGTTCCCCTCCGCAACCACAAGAGATGAGGAATGGTGAGGATAGGTGAGGGGGTTCATCGCCTTCCAGGAGAGCAATATAAACGTCCTCAGAATGCTTACATTTACTGCCGATGGGAAGAAAAATAAACAGGCATCGCCATTTATGCCGCCAACGACGGAAGAAAGTCGTCAGTTCTCCCTTTATTTTTTTGTCCTTCGACAGGAAGGCCGTGCCGGCGCGAAACTTTCTTCCTTCGGGTGTTCCAAGGCTCTTCTTTATCATACGGCCAAGATCATCGAATAAGCCTCTGGTCTTCCCCGATTGCAAATAACAAGGGGGGCTGGACACTCGCCAGGATCCGGATCCCCCTGCCAGGTTTCTCGATCAGTCCGCACTGAGCTGCATATTTTTTTACTTTTTTTTTTCTTTCTTTCATTCCTCTCTCATCGAGGATTCCCTTTTGAGTCTTTCTGGTTTACTTCTTGTCACAGATCCTTTCTTCATTCAAAGGGGGAGGATAGAAAAAAAAAAAAGCTTTCCCTTTCAAAAGTTACCTCTCTCGGCAGACATGCTGAAAAATGCATGGAGACCACTTCTTACAGCACAGATTTTTACGAGCTTCCGGTCATTTCCGGGGCTGGTCAGATCTAATAAAAAACGCGAAGAAAAGCGTGACAGACAAGCCAGATTTATCACGGCCGCGGAGACGAGATAAATTGAGGCCAAGTCGTATTTAAAGGCCAACCGAATTCGGCTCGGGACGAGATTTGTGATCGCAATCGAAAGGACCGAAATGCACTCAGCTAATCGACTTGACCCCCAAGAGATTTATAAAAAAAAAAGAGAGAGAAGGAGAAAACTTCATCATTCCTTTCTTCCACCCTATTCCCCTCATCCCCCTTTTCTTCTTTTTTTTTTCCCCCTCCGACGGAAGTGGTCCCGAGTGCTGCCATCGCGAGAGACGAATTGGCAACAGGGGTGCAAAGAAAAATTCGCACTATGGAAGCAGGTAATGATGCAGATAGTGATGCTTTGTCGGAGACAGAACTAACTGTTCCCAGATGAATTGCGAGTGCGAGCCCCATTTCATGGGAACCGAGCAGAGAGAAACCTGCGATCCAGCGTGGAGTTGTATACGAAAATAGCCGCAATATCTCATGTCAAATGAGGCGACCTCTTCTGCTTTCCTGCCTGGCGAATAAATCGGCCTGGAGACGGTCCAAGAAAGAAAAAACGCACATTTCTTCCGTCTTCTTCGACTCGGATGCAAAACCTCTCCTCCTCCTCAGCTCCAGAAATAAAGATCACTGGGACGCTCTCCTCCCACATCACCTGATATAACAGAGGGAGGGGGAGGCGACGCTTGGGCTCCCTTTGCATAAATATACGAAGTCAGCCCCTGTGACAGTGAGAACACTGGCTGCATTCACGCGTCGAGGTTGAGTATTGGCATTGGCAGATCACCCCAATAAATGGCCTCTCGGTTCGACGTGGAAGGGGTCCAAACCCGAGACGAGTGCGGGGTAATGGTCGAGAACGCGAAAGCGGGTGGCATCGAGAAACCCCGCGGAGGACTCTACTGCATGGCCCTTGAGGGTACGACACTGCTGGAGTGGTCAAGGTCGACGGGGAAGCCATTCGAGCGTACCTGCTCTTCCTCTTCGCTTTTTCCTCGCCTCCTCCTCCCCATTGTTCGCGAATGGGGCTAACAAACGAATTCCCACGTACTCGCATGGGTTCGACGTAACGCAAGACGAGTCCTGTATTTCGTCAACCTGCCTATGCGAGACGTAAGGTCTTATTCAGAGAGAAAAGAACCAGCCCTGGCAAAGCAATACGATCGTTGGGGGATCTCAGAAGGAGGGAGCCAATTTCGAGAGTCGCAGCTTTCATCTCCTTTCCCCATGTGGGATTTCCCTAGACGACCCCGACCAAACACCTCGGGATTTTTTTTTCTCCTGCCGAGTGAGTACATAGAACCGAGGAAATCCATAAATCGATAGATTTACCGAAAGACGTCCGCAATACGACTCCCCGGTCCCCCCCTACGCTTCTTCGAATGGAAATGTATACACCTCCGATGCATTCCGCATGTACCGGCGAAACAAAAGGACTCCAGCATGTGTTCGATCGGTCACACATCACCGGCCCCAAGTGGCGAAACGCACGTCGAGGGTCAACGCACCCGCTTTAGAATCACGTAGCATCGACAAAAAGCAAGAGGGGGAAAAAACGCCGCGGCTCGTAATGCACCGGGGAGAGCATCATCCATTACAATCTTGCATGTACTCCTGCAGAGGGTGGCAATAATCCCCTTGCTCTTTTTTCGCATAGCTTTCACGGCCATTCATCATCCAGGAGGCTCACGCGACGTCCCGACGACTCCCCCCTCCCCTGTCGCTAAAATCCAGGTTTGTTAACCTCGGTTTGGAAGAATCGCCCATGCGGAAAAGTTATTCTTCCTCCTCCCCTTTACGAGTGCCCCACAGATGCGATGAGAGCGTTGACTCTGGGGTGAAGGATCTCGGCATCCGCATAAAAGGCCTACGCGTTAACCCCTTCCACCCCGAGAAGGAACCCGCTTCCTCAGATACGATCGCGAGCGTTTGTTTGTTCGCGAACGTTCGTTCGTTCGAGAGTTCATTTTTAAGCGACGCGGGGACCCGTTACTTTTAACTCGGGGATCGATCGCACGTCCCCGGGGACGATCTGCGATGCAAGTTCATTCAAATAGGAGCAAACACATCGGGGGAACCGGATATACGGTATTTCCCCCCCTCTGAAAACGAGATCATGACAACTCTATGAGATCCGGTTACGTCACCCCAGGGAAAGAGGTTGCACGTTCGTTAATGGAGATCTCATGCTCCTCACGGCCTAACCTTACCCTGCAGGCGGAAAATAATCCAATACCAACAATCGTCTCCCCACATTCCAGGTTTTTCCCCCATGTTTTCCGCAATTTACTCAAGGTGGAGATTCCAAAAAGCGCGTCGCCGTATTCGTGCCGTTACGCACACGTAGGAAAGGCCATCGACCTCGTCGTGCTTGCCTATCATCTCCCCCCCCGGGGGGCTGTGCCTGAGAAATCACTCGGTGATCCTGGAAAATTTCTCTTACCTTATCGGTGGCATCTCTGGGGAGATTCTTGACGAGCACACACCGATCGGCATGGAACACGGCCTTCAACCTGTCGATGCGGCGATGCAGATCCTCGTCCTCGTCCGGCGGGAAGGGGATCCCCGGATTGTCCGGCGAGGGGACACTGGCCGTCCAGATGGGGAAGTTCTTGTACTTCACCGAGAAATAGGAGAGATCCGTCACGTCACCCCCAGGAACGTCGGCCGCGGGATCTGAGAGGTGAGCCATGCCAGATCGACGAGTTCACTCTCTCGGCATGAGGCACGGAATGAGCCGCACGGAACCGCGCAGCTTCTCTCCTTCGCCCACCGGCCTCGCCAGCTGAGTCGGCTGCTTCCCTCTGCGCATGCGCGGTAGCCCTCCGGGCGTATCGGATGCGGGGAGCGACGCGTGCGCAGTGTCCGGCCGGAGGAGGTGCACGCGGGTCCGGAACACGTGCTCTGGGCATGCGACGGAGCAAACATCGCGATCGATCGTGACTTTCTTGCAAGCGTTGAGATGACTTCATCTATGATTGGGCTTCTCTCTCTCTCTCTCTCTATCGTGATGAAAGTTGAAACGCGAGGGACGGAAATAACGGTAGTTCGAGGAGACACGTGATCGACAGACGCTTCTGCTCTCGGTTCGCGTGCGTGGTTGGTTTTCCAGAAAATTGAGAGAAATTTAATTTTGTCCGATTCTTGCGTTGCTTCGTCGGATTTCTCGATTGCAGGCGTTTGATGCATAATCGATGCATTTAAAGTATCCTGCATAATATATGGAATAACAACACGAAGATTGCAATGCCGGAACGGCGACGAGCACGAACAGATTACCGAACGTGACGCGTCGGACGCGAACGACTGCGAATTTCGCAGCCTTTCCCGCGGAAATCAGAGAAATCCGAGGCCGGATCGAGAAATCCGAGGCCGGACAGAGAAATCCGAGGTCGGACCGGCTCCACCGCAGTCCCAAGACGAGTCAATTAGGTCCCGCCGTTAGATTCACTGATGGCGGTTTCTCCGATGGAGTCGTGATCGCACGAAACCGCTGCGAGAGACGGATTATTTCTCCACGAAGAAAATGAAACATCTCCGACATCTGTTTCCATCTTTCATTTCTCGCGATACAAATTGCCTGTCAGGGCCACGGATGCTGCCGAAACTATCGCCGGACTGACTTATGGCCCTCGCCCCTCTCTCTTTGACTTATGGATTCGTGGCAGGGTAATGGAAAAAAACTGCACGGCGAATACAGAACCTGTTTTTTTTTGGCTCCGCTCCATTGTTTTTGTTTACTTCGCCTCGCGGAACGAACTAGACGGGCACGACAAACGGGATTTGCGGGATCTTGGCAGAGTGACACTCCTGGCAGAGTGACACTCTTGCCAGAGGTCGTAAACAAAGGATGACGAAAAAGTTGAGGAATCACACTTGACAAGTTCTTTTTTTTATATATAAAAAATAAGCGCTTTGCTCTTTTTTTTTGCACGCAGAAGCAGCATTGCGAAATCCAGATTTTTGCGAGATCGGAGAAAAGCAGATGAATTCTTCCTGTAATGTCAAGACCAATTTGCAGTTCGTCGGCGGGTACGTATCTGAGCACCTCAAAATTATCTGCACGAACGAAAATAAAAGAGAAATGCATCCGAGATCAAACAGAGTCGAATCAGATTTAAAAAAAAATCCTTAATTCAATAATCGAGAGAAAATTTTTGGTTTCAGCGAATTTGCACTCCGACGAAACCGATCCCGCAAAAATCGAAAAGAAACGAATCAACGGACCCCACAACGCCCGCCGACATCGGCGGATTCCGGCCCAAAGCCGACGTTGGCACGAAAATCCGAAGCGCGTCGAGTCTGGGTCGAGGCCAAAGTTCGAAACTAATTTTAGCTCACTCCTTCCATCTCCGTCGCGACCAGACTCGTTGTATACAGTGTGCCTTAACCTCTTTCTCGAAGGTGACCCAGAACTCCCGGATCCGGATCGAAACTCCCGAATCCGGACCGAAACTCCGGATGCCTCGTCGAAGGGAGCCGGTGACCCTGCGGAAAGCCGCGATGCTCGCGATCGCGACCGCCTTCGAGCGAATCTGCTACGGCTGCACCGACAAGGACTCGACCGCCCGATTGATCCAAGAGGACCTTTATCTCCAACACGAAGGCCCTTTCCGCGACTGGCGTGAGTTCCCATCAGAATTTGATCAGAGCGAAAAGGGATAATCGGATTCACTGCATTAAAGTCTCTCTCTCTCTCTCTCTGTCTCTCTCGACGAGGGGAGATAATTAACGAAGGGAGGGGAAGTTAATATGAATTCCATTCCCGTCTCGATTGGGTGTGCAAAACCCTTTCCTCTTCCCTTTCATAGGGGATTGGGGTCGACTTGTCGACTCCGATCGTGCGACATGCAACTTCGTAATTACATGTGTGATGGAAACTCATTACGTTTCAACCTCATTAGCCCGAGTGCAGTGTGTGTAACTTCGGATGGAATTATGAGATTATGGTCCACGGTGCCCTGCAATGCAGTACCGGAACGAACCGTGCAGTACCGAAACGAACCGACTCGGTCCAAAAGGGGAACGAGCATATACGCTCCTATTTCCGTTCCATCTCTTCATATTTGCATAATTTTTCGTTCGGCTTCTGTTTTCTCCCTGCGAATCCGCGTTGCGCGGAGAAAGGCGTCATTTCCATGTGTCAATCAGCCCCGAGGACGATGGGAAGACGATGGGAAGACGATGGGAGGACGATGGCAGGGCGATGGGAGGACGATGGGAGGACGATGGGAGAGGGCTCAGCTGGGAGAAAGATGAGGGATTACCGACAAGGGGAATTGATGGATCCCTTCGCTTAACAGGGGATGCTCATCACGCTTAACAGGGGATGCACATCACGCTTAAAAGGGGATGCGCATCGCGCCGGGTGTCGCTCCTGGGGAATCATAATGATTATCGTAATCCGCGATCATCACGGTAATCCGTGATCACCCTAATGCGTCACCGCCGCCGCGTATGTGCGCGAAAGTTTCGGAATCGGCGCCGTTTCTCCTAATTGCATTTCTTGATTGCGTTCATCATATCGTATATTGATGAAGGGATGACGTCGGTTATGAGGAAAGTTCCGGCACATTCCTCATTCGATAAGCGGGGAAAAAAATAATAATAAAGGGCGAGGTACATTTTCTTCTCCGGTGAATACGGGTTCCTTGGGTCCCTTTTCCTTTGACAATAATTATTGGATGAAAAAATTATGGGGTTACTGCTACTGGTTTTCCTGCCTCTTTTTTTTTTGTTCTTATTTTCCTTGTTCCTAATAGTGAAGACATGTACTTAATCGGGATGCTGGCAAACAAGACCTGTTCCAATCATTAAAAAAAAATCGGCTTGCGTGGGCGCGTTGAATTAATTCATTAAACTTTTATGACGCCTCTGAATCGAACGTGAAGCCGGCAAGCGATCGTGACTTCATTTATTTCTTGTACAGGGTGTCACAAAAGTCTTTTTTGAAACGCCCTGTGTATGCTGCTGATGCAATCATGACATTTTTTGTTGAAAATTTTCGTTCGCAGCCTCGAGCCTGGCGGACGAATTACTGGAGACGATGAAAGAGAAGCGGTCGCTCGGCCGACACATGCTGCATCTGCTGTTGAAGCGAGACACGCAGTCGCTTCTCATGGGGTATGGCGTCGGGGAGCCGTACTACGCCCTCGGCTTCTTGCGGCAGCGATGCCAGGTGAGGCACGAGTCCGAGGATGCCAGGCGAGGCATCCGGCGTTCACCCGGCGTTCACCCGGATGCAATCGCTGGGAAAATGGATGACTGTGGATATTCTTTGAAAAGAGTTTTTTCCATCGAGATAAGCGCTGGTGTGTGACAGTGCCAAGGCATCGCATATGGTACGACGAATCCACGAATTACAGTTAGCTTTTCTCATGCCTTTGTGGCATTTGCCCCCGGGGGATTCCATTCCCGACTCCTTTCTGGAAACCGTCCTCTCTGCTAGGTCGGTAGCGGTCGACCCAGGCAGCTCGCACCGAGAGACGCGCAGGGTTGTCGAATCGCGCAGGGTTGCCGAGTCGCTGATTACTGGCTTCGGAGTTTCAATGGGGAATGAGTACGAGCAGCGCCGTACCGAGGATGTTTCACGCACTGTACGAAATATAAATGCAGCGCCCCTCCCCCCTCTATACTTCTTCAGCTTCCCCAGCACTAACAATACATTACGCATTAATTTATATTTTTATTTTAGTTAAATTCAGGATAATTTGACATTAAAAAAAAAGTTTTATTAATATTTTGTAGCGATTTGGCAGCAAATCGGTGCCCCGTGCGGACGCACCGCTCACAGTCCCCTCGGTACGGCACTGGGCATGAGGTACGGGTGGAAATGGGGGATTCGATGTCCATCCGTCTACCTCATGACGGAAGACGAAATGAAAAATCCCCTCGTGTTGAACGAACGAGGAGCGTGACTTTCACAACCCCGTGATGAAACCTTCAACCTGCTTCACCTTCAAATGCGTGGTCCCAGCGCGTACGATTTCGCAGTTTTTTATTTATTTATTTACTTTTTTTTTATTCTCAGGCCTCTTATTTCGTCAGTGCGGAATTTCTTACGACTTTGAGGATTTCATTAGAGGCGAGCGGCTCGGTAATTTTGTGCAGCAAATATTGCCCGTAAATAACAGATTAATTGAGCTCTGATATGCTGTCTGGTTGCCGAATCGCAGGTCTGATATTTTCGTTCTATTGTGCCTTGCTGGCATGCCGTGCCCGAATGATGAGCTCAAATTTGCACTGAATGGAATCATGTTCCGCACACGAAGAAAAGGCAGTCTGCCAAAGCGGAATTTAACATGCAAATAACCAAGCTTGGATGTCGTGCCGGAAACATTCGCGCTAAAAAAAAAAAAACTTATGAATGGTCTCCCTCCAACCCGGAAGCTGCAAATTTCAGAGAAAATTACCTGATATGCGTCGAAGGAGACGAAAGAGGAATCAGAGGCCGCTCTTGCCGTTTTACATGGAGTTCCCGGCCTTCTTACATCGACCAAGCATGCAAAAAATGGCAGACACGACGCGAAAGCCCATCTAGATTAAATCTACGTGTCGTGATGGCGTCTATATTAATAGAGGGCAGTAAAAAAAATATTTGTTGGTCGTATCGTCCCCGTTACTTTCCTTGAAGCAAGAGATGCACGAACCGCAATCATCAGCCGTTTCATCGGCCAATCTCGAATCGCTCCGGGTTTATTGGAATGAACTCATATTACGTCTCGCCTTGAACTCTCATCCACCCGATAACGAGATTTTCGAGTGGAATTTTGTCGGCTAGATTCAGAAATAACGGCTGCTCCGCCTCACCACACAGTTCCGTTGGCGGAGTTAATGCTTCATGGCATAGTATTCGCGAGAACTGGAAGCGTGTAACGGATGACACGAGCGGACGTGTAATGGATGACACGAGAAGACGAAAGAACGGCCGGGAATCGAACCTTCGCCTCTCGATTGTCCGTCGGGTTTTCGACCACCGATTACCGCGCAGATTCACTCAACCTGACCCAAAACGGTGAGAAAATCCAAGAACGAATTCGGAAGTGTATTGAGGCCGAACGGATCTCGGAAAACGCAAAATTCGCAGGCATTCGCCCGGGTCACCGCGCCATTCGACCGCGAGCTGGGCATTTCTCACTCGTGCACGCTCAGACGTGCTTCACCGTGCTTCACCGTGCTCCGACGACGTCTTAACTATCTTGAACGTGTCCTTGCCTTAGAGGACGGTCGCGATGGCTGCTAGAAGACTTTTTTAAACGCCTCCTGGAAGTTATTAAGGGGCTATCATGTTTTTTTTTTTTCCCAGGAGGCTGCATTATAGTACTTGCGTTGTACTCCTTTCTGATTTCCTGAGGGCAGAGAAAGCTTTTTCAAGTTCTCAAAGGCATCTTAATTCATTTCCTGCATGATAATCATATCGAAGTTCTTCAGTATAATTTTTTTTGCAACTTGGATTTCTTCGCAAGCGAGTCTCCAGCGAAAATTTTTGTTTCAATGGTTTTTTTCGGGGTTTTTCCGATTCTACTTGCCACAAAATGAGGCAAAATGAAAGCCTTTTCCGCCGAGTTCAGCGAGCGATCTGCTAAAAAAAATTTTTGAATGCAAACTTCCTTTTCTGCCCCACGCAAATTCTCACTCTCACTGGACCTGCAAATGTGCAAAAATTTAATACAAGAAGAGCCATTTGAAACCTCCAACACTAAAAGGACACAGACGAAACTCACTCAGAGAGCTTGATCAATGCACTGAGTCGAGCATGGAAATGAATCAGCTCGGTTATAATCACCCTTTTCCTCTCTTCGCTGTTCCTATCGCTCCTGCGTATCCTCCCTCCCCCCTTCCCACCTTCCCCCTCCACCTTCCCCTTTCCGTGACTATTCTGGGCGTGGAAGCCGTCACTCCCTTTCCCGCCTGCCGTGTCTATCGGGTCAATTAGTGTCATTTAATGTATACTCCTGTCTGTCCGTCGCTTTTATCCCCAAACATCTATTTCCGCTGATTGTTTGACGCCTGGACAATGGGGTGAAAAACGTCTCTCTTTTTCTTACCGTCACGATTTCCGGATCTATTCGTGTCTATCAATGTGCATTACCGTCTGTTCTCGGCGTCTTTCTTCTCGAATCACCTTTGTAGCTTTTTCGACTACTCCTGTCGCTACAGCACATGGGGGAATATAACCCTATGGGCACATGCCGTCGAGTTTGTAGGTCATCGATCCCCAAAACCCTCTAAAGTTACAGCTTATTCGGGCCTTTTTAATCTTTAATTTTTTTTTGTATTGCAGTGTCTCATTCCTCTTTTTGCAGTGTCCTTCCTGAGATAAAGTCAGACGAACGTGCTATCGTAATTTCCGATCGCATGTTGCTCGAGGCAGGTAAAAGACCATCAGATTTCGAATTGGATAACTTTTCTGCTTTGACCACGCGAAAAAATAGGCCGAAACTCGCATTGAGTTCACGAGAGCTCGAGGCCATTATTAACTAAAGGACTAGAAAAATCAATGACCCTTCGGTGGAAACGAGAATAAGAATCGCGTGCGTGTGAATTCCCCAAAGTCAAGGAAGCGAGACTCCTGCCAGAAAGAATCACCTGCGCCGACATAAATCATCTGCTGTGCAGATGGTATAAAACGCGGTTAACCGAATGTTTGTTTCCCTGCTTTTGCGGTGTGACCCGACTCGATGCTTATCCCGTTCTGCACGCAAGCGTCACCCGTTTCGATCGCTCCCTGCAAAAGGTGCAAAAATTTTGCAAAATTATTCCCGCAATAAATATTTATCTGCTCATTTAAGCCCTTAACGTCGAATCGCCATCGAGGATCGATGCGTTCAGAGATCGATAGAAACTAAAAAGATTCTCGGAAAATTCTCGTCACGCTCCCCCCCAATCGAATTACGGTACGTTGACGGGACTCATTAGGCAACTCCTACTCATTAAAGCTAATCAGGTCTTCCTCGTATAGGCGACTCGAGTCTCTGCACATTGATGGGATGAGGCCAGCCGGAAAATTCCACCTCACTTGGAATTTTCCGCTCCAAGGCACTGACTACACCCTCTTTTCCCTCATCGATCCAAGCTTCGCAACCTTGTAAAGTGATGAGGGTATTTTTTTTATGGGGGGGAGGGGGGGGGGGGGGGAGGCCCCCGATCGGCTTTATTTCTCAATCGGCCGTCCGATGTTCCCCTGGAGATCGCCATGACAGCTGCTCTTGTCCTCTGAGATGGATGGGTTTGGGAATTTTTTAGCCCGGAAATCAGGTCTTAGGACTGGAGTCATCGATCACGCTGAATTTGCCAAAAACGGGGGGGACCGTTATCATTCATGCTTCAAAGCGATCATGGGAGGGGAGAGAGGGATGGTCTCCTAATTGCGGGATATTGAGAGGCAGGAAATTCCGAGAACCCCTCCACTTTCATTCTTCCTCTCCTGAGGCTTCGCGGAGATAATATGAAAGGAATGAGGGGAAGGGGGAGGGAGGAGGGGGGGAGGGAGGCGGTTGGCATGGTAACATATTCTTCTTTCCCTTGTGAAATTCACTCTACTTCCTACATGGTTCGTCCACATACCTGTCCGGTAATGGAATGTAAGGTGGGGAATTTTCCCCCCCTCTTTTTCCTTTTCCTTTGCTGGGTATGCCGACTCCTCCCCGGGCGATGAAGCTAATAAGACATGCATAAAGGCGGGGAACCGAGCTCTCTCGCAGCCTTCGGGTCTTTCCATATTATATTCTCCTGTAATTTTCCCGGAGAATACGAAAACACCATTTCGGGTCTGATTGTGAATTCACGATGGGTCTGAAAGTCGCTCTAATTATTTCAGCTCGCTCTACGTGATTAATTTATTCGTCCTCGTTGTGCAAGCGACTGCAAGCCGTGCCATCGTTACGCGAGACTTCCGGAGCGAGAATCACGAAACCGCATAATGAAACACGGAAGAAATAATTGCGAAAGCGCCTGCAAGCACGGACAGACCCGTCAGACCAGGCGACAAACGCGACGGCCAACATAGCAGGCTCTCTATTTCTCTCCTTTTTTATTGGCAATCCAAATTGCAATCCAGCGGTCTTCCCGATATGTGCGGTCTTTCGCCAACACTCGAGTGTTTGTCCAAATTTCGGATGGAGTGTGCATGAGCTCTTCTTTTATAGACAAAAACCGTCCGAGGACGTTATGACTGGTCGTAACAGGATCCGCATAATTTTTCCTCGGGGGGATAGAGGGAGAAAGGTAAATTTGCACAAGAGATGGAAAGCGGTCGGGCATGTCCAACGTAATTGATTCCAATATTTGCCCGCGTGGATCATATTAAAGACGGAGTTTCCTTATATATATATTTTTTAGGGGGGACTTTTCCCCAATGCAGGAAAACTCGAAGTTCCGGGATTCGAGCGAATCGATCGAGTTCTGTCCGAAGTTCGACCAATCATAAATGGCCAAATTGCCAAATTCTGTCCAAAAAAATAGCCAAGGAACAAAATTTCCGTCTTCATGAAGCCTTCATCTCCAATTTCGAGAGCCGATCACCATCTGATTCACCATCAGGCTTAACGTCGCAAAGAGATAAGGAATGCGTCAAGCGGAAATGACAGGCGTTTCATGAGAGGCACGGAATGTGCCAAAATGTACCAATATTTCTCCCCTCTTTTCCGCAGATCCTCGGTTTTAATCCCTGTTCAGGCGCCGGTGAAGGAAGGGGTAAATAAAATATATATAAAAAAAAACATTTCCGATGTCTGCCCGGCATCACATAATTTTTTTTTCCCCTCGAGAAATCGATAAGCCAATGCGAGTCACGGTTCAAGATTTTTCTTCTCATTCGTCTCAGCCTCCAACTCCAAATGAAAATGGAAATTTCGTTCGAGATACCAGAAAATTTGAGCGAACTCATGCGCGGCGGAATATTTAATACGCTTTCCAACGCATTTCCGCGAACTTTGAAGTTAAAAAAATGTCCATAAAGAACTCGATTCGAATTTTCCCTGTATGCAAAGGAGGGGGTTAGCAAATTCCCTTTTCGGCAAAGATGGAACGCATTTTCGCGTAGTCTCTTGCAGTCGGCTTTCTGAGCTCATCTAGAGTCACATGGGAACTAGAAGCTCTGCTTCGCACCTCATTAACCGCAAATCATTAACCGAGCTCATTAATCACGGGTCCCCTAATTGTGTGATCAGGGACGGCCATATTATGCCCTGCCCCTGTGCATCTGATGAAAGGGCCTTATCTGACGGCGACGGGATCCACATTATTAATTACAGAAGCTGGGGCTTCGCTAGTCTTACTTAGTTGATGAAGAAGCTCAATTAATAAAATCTCAAAGAAAAAAATCAATAACTCGAGGAAGCATTCATAAAGTAAGGAAGCATTCCTTTAACGCTTCATCTTTCGCAAATTCCCCAATTGCAAAAATAATTTATGTATACATTAAGAGAGAAATGTATGGCTATAAGTTTAATAGAATCCGAAAAGTTTGCGGAGACTTTATCTTAGGGTTTCTTCAAGTGCGTCGCTATTCCCCTTCGCAAATGAAGACAAGATCCCCTCAAAGGGGGGATTACTCACTTGAGAAAAGCAGAAGAAAACTTTTAATGTTTTCGAGGCTCCTTCCTTTATGAGCCTGGGACGAGCCTGTTAACGGCGGCAAACTTGGATTGATTATTCCTTCTGCGAAATTCCCAGCGATCATTCTGCTTTTTTTTTTCATTTGAACAGATGCTGAAGCATCTGGACTTGTCGTATCAGAGTCATTTGACCCCCAAGATCTTCGTCGACACGCTCAAATGCCTGCCTCGATTGCAGATCCTCAATTTGCAGCATACTCCGTCCGGAGATCAGGTAAAACAATTCATTTGGAATAAAACTTTGTCTTTGGGTTCATTGGAATCACGGAGAGAATATTCGGATGGGGGGGGGGGAGATAAGTCTATTGAGAGGATGAGAAATGAAGGGAGGACAGGATGGAACCCGGACTCCATATAAGGTTATATACCTTCTTGGTGCTTTATTGCCTCTGCTAGATTGAGAGCTTTCCTTTTTCCTTTGCTTTATACTGACAGGTCATATATCCCTTTGCCTGCGGTCGGTCTAAATTGTGTCTCCCCGGGGGTCAGGGTTTCCTCGGCTCGGTTGCACTTGCGGGGAAGAAATGTTTCTCATGGAATGACGTGATCGTAACTGGGATCTGTAAATAGTACAATGAGATCTATGGACCCCCACGATGCAAAATTGAATAGGCTTGCTCTAGATAGCAGGCACGTTGCTTCGACTTCGATCCCGAGACGCTTTCTGCAATTTCCATATGGATTCCCCCGACCAAAGTTTCTCATCGATGTCGTCAATTGTTTCCGAAAACTGGATTACGAAGGAAAATCGATCATTTTCGTGAGGACGGTCTATTAAGATTCCCAGATTCCCTAACATTGCCCAGAAAAAAAAAGGATGTAATTCTATCTCTGATGTCCATCTCCTCTGTAATTCTTCGATTTATTTTCCCCGAGAAGAAGGAGAAATGGTCTTTCCCAAGAAATAGAGGAGCAAATCACAAATAGATCACAAATAGAGGTCTTATCTTTGCGAACGGCGAAGCTCATAGACTTCTCATTAGGCTCGTCTTGGAGATCGGAAAGATATTGGGAAACATCAGCTTCAGGCCTGGTTTGTCTAGCAGTACTTAATTTTGCATTACCGCTTCCCCGAGCAGAAGCGTGAAATTAACTACGCGAGTGGAGAGGAAAAAGAGAGGAGATTAAATTTTAAGTACAAAAGCCGCCTAACGCGGAAATTCGGTCGCGAACTTTATCAATTTTCCGTGGTTGAGACTCAGAATTCCCCCGTGTCGTCATTGTCATGCAGGATTTCTGCAATGGAGATATTTCATGAGATATTGGTCTTTCCGCCTCCTGCATATATGCGATGCGATGCAATTTCGTCGCTGCAATCTCGGGAGGATACTTTATCACCCTTCCTCGGAGAGCCATGAAGAGTTGAACTTGGAAAACTTTCTCCGAAGGCGGCTTATGGAGATTTGAGCTCGCCACCTTCTCGTTTCCGAGCAGACTCTCGGAATATCCAGAAACCAAGACCCCCAAAATTGAGGCGATTCATCAGAAAGTCGGGAAAATTAGCGTCTTGAGTCGCTGGACAACCCACTGTCATCTCTATTAGTCGACGTAGGTCCTTGCCCAGGAACGCGAAGCGAATGCTCATGGAGGCCAGACATAAAACGCTAGTTCTTAAAAATACAACAATCTATTCCTGCCCGTTTTAAGACAGGAATAAAGTAATTGGAAAGGATCTCCAATCCAGGAATGCCACGATGGATCCAATTTGTTTTAATTCTTCAAATTCTAATGGAGGGACGATCATCTCAGTTTTTGGATTAGAACATGATATTAATTTAGCACCTCAAGACATCAGATGTGTTCAATAACTGTCACTTAACAACTTTCTTTGCCCAGAAATTGCATTATTTTTCTTCCGGAAAGAAGTCATTCTCGATCAATTCTGGAAAGAAATTCACATAATGATTAGTTTGGCAAGAATAATTTTATATTGTCATCGTGGTCGTGGCACCAACAACGCACCAAAGTAGCTTTGACAATTAGGGGCAAAATCAAGCCAGTTTTCAATTTGTCAGTCGGGTTTTCGTATCCGTGAGCAGCGGTCAAGATCACAAATAACTCTTCTCAACAATTGATGAGACTGTTCCCGGGGGAAAGTGGGGAGGGGGGACAGAGCAAGCACAGTTCATGGTGGCTAAATATACCAGGAGGACAGAGTTAATTCAACGTTCAATTACTAATATGAGCTTGCACGGCATTTCCTCATTGTACCCGACGCTGGTAAGGGCTCATGAGAGCATTACCTTCAATTTTGCAGGCTGTAATGATTTCCTGGCCCTGGAAATTGTTCCGAGGTGAGCATGTAAATTGAATCGGGAGCAGGGGGAACTGACACTCGAGCGGCGTTGGGAATGAATTAATTCGAGGGAAATTAAACAGGGGGAGGGGTCTCATTCAGGCATTGAGTATGGCTGCGAATGCGGGAGTGAGATTGGTTTTACCGACTTCATTATAAGAGCAGAACGAGGGGGACAGTTCGCGTTGAGAAAGTTAAAAGTAAACCATAAGTTGAGAAATTATTTCTTTACTTGCTGGGTATTGCGTGTGTGGAGTGAATTATGAGACGATGTGAGGGTAACAGCATGGGTAGTGCATACGGGTATGCTATTACGCAGTCTGTAATTCAGTAAAATGGTATCCGTGCAAGAGAAAGCGCATTTTAGTATAAAAATTGTATGATTCTTTTGCGGACACCCTGTATATCTCTAAGGGGTAGGCTCATCTCATGTGAATAGGGAGGGAATAGGAAGAGCGCTCGACTGAGACTGTCAATATGGGCATGAATGCTTCTTAGCATCCCTCGCAAAACCTTGACAATTGGAAGGGGGGGGATTCAAAGAACCGCACCAATTAGGAACGCTCGGGGAAACTTTCGCTATGCACTACCTGGAATGACAAATACCTTTGCTTTTTCCTTTGCCAAGAGTCTCCTTCATATGCTGGCGGGAAGTCCAGAGCAATATGGAAGAAATATTTTTATTATTTTACCTCAAGTCTCTGCACAATAGCCACATCATAACCAAACATTCATCCGTCCGATCTCATTCAGAGGAGACTGTGCAGGTAATGGAGGTGATCGGGGAGTACTGCCCCCACATCAGGGACCTGAACATGACCAGCACGGCCATCTCGGACAGGGGCGTGTGGAAGCTGTGCGAGAGCTCAACGGGGGAGCCCCGCTCCCAGGATCTCGTCAGGTTCAAGGTCACCGAGACAAGGGTCACGGCCGAGGGCATCGCGTTCCTGCTTCTTCAGTGCCCCGCCCTCGTCGACGTCGACTTCCCCGACATGATCCAGGTCAGGCGAACGCCCACGCGTTTGGGGAATTTTCGCTTGTAAAATGCCGATCTTCAAATTCCATGAAATTAATTATAACATTTCGGTGATCTTTCACTTATTCAAATAGTTATTTATTATTAATCTAATCATTTGCATGAGAGGGGATTGAAATGAAGTGATATAAGCCCCGAATCCCTTCTTTTCCGCTCTAAACTATTTGCGCAACGGAATGCAAATCCTTCAGCACGCCAAAATGCGATATAAATTGCAATATAATACCAAACTGCCCCACGCATATCACCGATCCTCAAATAGTATGTTGAAATCAATGAATTTACGATACAAATATCTGGCGATTGATCACATCCCATAAAGGCAGGTCACCACGACTTCTGAAAAAGCCCTGGAACTCTCATCTGCATAATCCGGATCTTTTTTCCCTCTAACATCAACAAACACAGGAATTCTTCTCGCTCCGTTGTCAACACTATCAGCTGTTCCGCAGAAAAATACCCAGATTTGTTGCTTCACCCCGGGGGCTCCCAACTTAATGAGCAGAAGCAGAAATGCTCATCGCGTAAGCTTTTCACCCCGAAATGTGTATCACGAACGGTATCACTTTGTCGGCAAGCCAGCATTGCTATTGAAGTGCAAACTTGAGAGCAATCAATTTCTTGTTATTTGGATTCGTATCCAAACAAGCAACTTTCATCTCACTTTAGATCAACTATTTTCGTAGTGAAATCGGAACAAATCGGAAGTGAGCTACGAGTAACCACCTTGTCCCCTAGGGCTTCCACTCCTTTTCCATGCTTGGGACACCGGCGAACTTCTCTGTCGCACATCCGAAAGACAATGACCTCAAAAAGATTTGTGGGGGAGTAATCTTCATTTATCTCAACAGCCATGAGAGCATGGAAGCTTGCCGCACTATTCAACAGAACCGTTGCAACCCCTTCACCCCACATCAGTTATATTTGACCTTTCCAAGGTGTTCTCGACCTTTTCAAGCACTACCTTCCAGGAAGCAATTACATTTCCAGCTCCACGACACAGCCATGGCTTCAAATGCGACAGCTCCCACACGTGCCTCTTCATGGGCTCGTTAGGAGAGGAACGTCGCGTGGTGACGCCCTATTCCCATTATACGTTTGTTGAAAATTCATTGACGGCTACTTCACTATTTTTTTTATCAATTGGAACAATACCCAGGGTGTCTCCTGGAATAGATGCAATATCTTATTTAGCTCCATGAAGCTATTCAATTCACGCAGACCTTATTCAACACTTGTATTACTTTTTTCTAGAAACGTCAGTGTCCATTTCCAATTTCAAATTCACTCGATCTTTGGACATCTTTCATAGATGTAATTCCCAGATTTTGATAGGCCGTTACTTTTTTTTTTCTCCCTTTCCGTATCGTAAAAGACAGTGAGAAATTTCATTCGTTTGGGGAACAAATATGAGTAATCGCATTTCCGGAAGGTCGAGATGAGTTTTAGTTCTCGATCATGAATTGCCGGGAAAAGATTTGTTTAAAAGTTGCGGAAACGCATTGGAACGGAATCATGAAATTATTTATCTCGGGGCAAAACTAAATTTCTCACCGTCGCATGCAATCAGGAAAGAAACAAAAGAATACGCTTAAATCACATACTAAGAACTATTTCAATTCTGAAATTAAATGCGCTTCTTATGATTACCCTTACTCGAACTATCATCTATACATCAATGCGAGTCATCCTGAAAACTCCCTCCGACACCCCGAAAAAGGGGACATTAGTATCCCCTTTTCACTTCGCGTTATCCCAACCATCAGGAACTATCCATCCCTCACTGCCCAGCCTCCGAGAAGGATCTGCTCGGATAACTCTACTTCCCTCGGAGAACTTTGGAGTCTTTCTCCTCTCCCGAGGCTTTCTCCCGAACGTCATAAGTAATGCCTTCCAGAAAGCTTCCCCAAGGAAATGACACTGATCTCTTGCAATCCAATGTCGTTCCGTCTGAAAATCCCAAACCTTTATCGTCCTATATCACCCTTCCTTATAATCCTATTTTCTCACACATCCAGAGCTTGATTGAACGTCTCTTCCTCTCGGCTGAACACCGCTCAGAATTTTCGCAAATGTTTCTCTCGCTTCTCAACTGCCAACTGATTTGTAGGATATTTGCAGGTTTCCAACGTAAACTTGACCCCCTTCTCAACCCCTTTATAGGGCAAAACCCTGGGACACGAAAATAAATTATTATTATGTCTAACCTGCTAAATAAATTGCATTCATCGCACATAAGAGATAAATTGATTATTCCAAATATAAAACGTTTTAGTTCGAAAAGCACTGCTGTGAAAGAAATGGCATTTGTGTAAGGTTTAGATACTTTGTATTATTATGGGTACGCTAAAACCATATTCCGTTCTTCATCGTGACGTTACGGATGGATACGTAAGATACGTCAGTGACGTATCTTACGGGAGGAGAGGGGGCGGCCACCCCCCCCTGGCGCCCCCTTGGTGGCAATATTTTTCTTCCCTGATATCGCTCGGCTGGGGTTTGCCGCCCCCGCTCTGCTGCCTTCTATTTAGGGAGATCATTAGAAAGAGAAAGTTGTGAACTTGCAAGATGTACTGTCATCCATTTAATAATACGCGAACTCCTTGACAGAATGACTTACATACGGACGGAACGAAAACGTTTCTTCAGTCAACATTACGGCTCGCTCGCGTGACAACGGAAAAGTTCCTTTCCTCTTAGCCAATGAGTTAAAAAAAAAAGCAGTGTCTGCACGCTGTTTCTTAGCTCCGTTCCTGCGCTTTCAGTCTTCTTGTGTTACTTGGCTTTTATCCACTCGATCTCCACTTCCCTTTTCCGTCCCCGTCGACGTTCATTCTTTTGGCCTCCTGACAACATCTACGGGTTGTTTTTTCTTTTATGCGACTCTTACGCTCTTTCTTTCTGAACTTTTCCTATCTGCTAATAGTTTTCAGCTTTGACGCTTCTGCCTTTTTAAAAGTTTGATAGTTTTTATTATTATTCTAATCTCTTTTGGACCCTATCTTTTAAATTGTACTTAATTTGTTCCCAATACTCATTGATTATTGTCAACAAAAGCGCTTTTTAATTTTTTTGTTTTTCATTTTTCTAGTTTACCAGAGAAATGGGGACTTTTGTCCTTCCTCTCCCCCTCTCCCATCGAAGCGTCGAGATTTATCTTCCAAAAACAAAAATCTCTTCCCGGTTTTGAGCACCACCACTTCCTTAGCCTGACCCTTCCTCTCATTCTGCAACATACGTGCTACACCCTTAATTCCTTTTAAAGAATACAATGCTATTAAAATATGGTGCAGCAACAAATCTTCGCGACCGCCTTCTTTGCGCGCATTCGCGAAGCACTAAGAATCGCGAGATTTAAAACGTTCACTGCCGAAGAAAAATCGCGTCCTCAACTAATGCGCCAAAAGTAAATTTGCCAGAAAACTCCAACATTTATGAACGAAAAACCTTATTTTGATCGCCATTGCATAATACTGTAGTAGACAAATTATATGAAATTGAAGATTGACGCAAATGTGCGTCATTTGCGTTGGCCCCAAAATCTGAATTTAAAACGCTGCGTGTACCGCAAATGCAATTCAGGACAAATTGTATCAATATCGAACACATATTTTCGATCAATATAGCAGAATTCACTGTGCAAGCTCTCCTCTTTCATAGGCTGTTGCCAGGGCATAGTCCTGGCTGTTTCGGCCTCGTAGTGCAGATGATGATCGAGTCCGTTAGGCGGACACGATCATTATCTGCACTACTTATGCTTAAGTATTGTGTAGTTACGATACTTTAGTAAAATTATATGGCTGCTATTCGATCCACGTGGGGAGATTCGTCCTCATATTCATGGCTGGCCGAATCAGACTCCTCGTCGGCGTCGGTAAGCGGCATATAAACCCCTGTTCGATGAAAAGCCGGACTGGGACATAATCGGTTCTAAAACATATTTGTTCAAACCTTTTTTTTTTTACTTTCTTGGTAGATTTTGGCGAGACGGTCCCTCTTCATCCATGTTTTAATCAAGTCATCTCAAAATTTTAGTGACCGAAGTTAGATGCTTCACGTAATGACGTGGCGCAGAAACCATGTGAACAGCGTAGAGGCGCATGGTTTATGCTAATCGCCAATACCGAGACCCAAGCCTTAAACCTTGCGCTGAGAGAAACGAAGGCATCGAGACAACAATGCGCTGATGACGCACATGTGCGTCATCGCCAGCGAACGTGTTAAAATGTCAGAATGTAACATTTTGCGAAATTGAATAAGTGCAAAATTTGTCACTTCTCTATATACAGGGTGCGGCCTAAGTCGCTTTACCGAGAATGATTGAGAATTGAGAATTTCTACTAAACTGCAAGCTAGTCTCACTCACTCACTACTGCACCCAGTGTATTAAAATCGGTGTTGCCAAATCAGTGCAAAAAAATATAAAAATAATTATTCTCAGTAATGTGACTTATGCCGCACCCTGTGCAGCAGTGATACACAACCTTTCCTCCTAGAGGGCCTAATTGAGATTTCTGCTCATTTTCGAGGGGTTCAAGGGCCGCAGACCCTCGAACATGAGCCAAAATAGGACGCATATGAATATGGATCCTTAGAGACCGGAGGCATCCAAGGGGCCGCAAAAAAGTTCTCCGCGGCCCGCAGGTTGTACATCACTGCTGTACAGTACTGACAAATGCTGCACGCTCTTGGTAGTTTGACAATTGCTGCTAACTATCCAAGCAGTACTTTGTTACGTATCATTTATTTTATTAATCAAAATATCTCATGATGGGTGACATTCGACGAGGGGTGGGTCCGACGAAGGGCGATGGAAAATAAGCTTATTCATTTTCTTTTGTGGCAAAATTATACCAGCAGTTGAACCGATGCCAAGCGCCTATCTGCGCGCAGTCTGGAAACTAACGAAAACCAGATTCGACTCGTCTGTTGTCGAGGGTGTTCGGATAAGTGTTCGCATATGGATCGCCCTGTTGGCATAGGGGATTATATCATGTCGACTGACGTTAGAAATGTGTGTGGTGCTGATCATTGCGTGTAACAGGAAAAATCTGCCGTCGAGACATGCACGCTATTTCACTTGGCATAAGGGGACAATTCCTGCCTCGGCAACGATTTTTCGCAGCAACACTCGAGAACCTGCGAATTTTACCTGGAATCTCCCCTAGCGTCTATTTCGCGGTGAGCAGCTTCGAACAGTGATTACTGTCGGCCCCTTCTCCCCTCCCTCCTGTCTGCCTCCCAGGAATCAATTCCACGAGAGAAGGGGAAGGGGAGGAGGGAATGAGGCTCATGTCAGGATTAAATGCCTGAAAAGGCCCTGGCAGCCACAAAAGCCTGATGAACTGAGGCGTGTCGGAGACCCAGCAGACCTCGTTTGCATCAGAAAGAGGCTTCCTCCCCTTCTCCTTCCCTTCATCCTCATCCTCATCCTCTTCCCGAGGATTCTCCGGAAATACAGTTTATTCCGAGATTGTAAGAGATTCGAGAAATCGATACAAGAGGGGAGATAAGTTTATCGTGGATTCAGGTGCCGAAGGGCGGAAAATGATATTGATCAATCCCTGACAACAGTCAATCTCCAACTGGAATTGCAAAATCATGCTCCGATTAAAAAAATCTAAGCCTTCGAAAAAAAAAAACCCTTAAATGTTCGTTGCTTGAATTGGGACGTGATAGAAGCTACCCAATCTTGGAGTCTTTAAAATAAAAGCAGGAGGGATGAACAGGGAATTTGAGCATAGAGTCGCACTCGAGACTATGGCATAGATGGGAGTTCGAAAGCGGTTTACATCCGTCAAAGGAATCGATCAAGGAAATGGATTTTGTACTCAGAGATGGACTTAGAAAGCTCTCTCTGCCTTATTTATGCCCGAAATCAGTACTCTCCCATGCTGACTCATACAGTTCTATTTCAGGATGTCCTTCCCCATAATGCATGGCGGTTCATGCATTCCTAATTGCAGTACATAGTAGAAATGAAGGTAATTCCGTTCAGAGAAGAAACTCCCCATTCCTGCTCCAGCTGATATTGTCCCTTTCTTTCCCGTGATTACCCGTCATCCCATTTCGCGATGACGGCAAAGGGTGTATATGGTGTATATGAAAGCTACAGAACGACAGTTTCCCAATGATAGGCAATTCGCCATGATCCCAATAAAGGAATAACCGGTTGTAGAGGGGAAAGAACACTCGGAGCATGGAGGGTCATCTCGGAAAGGGATAGCAGCTCAATCCAGACAGAGAAAAGCGGTCGAAGCAAGAAAGAAAAGCGCGTTCACTCACAAAGATCCGGAACGCGAGGCTGTCCATCAAGCACTTCCGCGGCTCCGATCTCACTCACTCCCTATGCCCTGTCTTGTTCCTTTTCCTGCTACAACACGAATACAGGCGACGGTGAAGTACGAAACGGATAGCGAAGCGATCGTTGTATCCGTGAAGAGGAAGCCATATACAGGATGGTGCAAAAGTCCTGTCTCAGCAATTTCTTAGATTGAATGAAATGTTCAAACTGGTTGCCTTTTGCTATTTCGCAGGATACGGTAGCGAATGCTCTCACGCACACGTGTGAGAGTCTCGTGATTGCCGCACAATCTGCGAAACAGTTCAAGGCAACCAATTTGAACATTTGATTCCGTGAAAGAGATTCTTATGAGACAGGACTTTTGCACCATTCTGTATATTAACTGTCGCTTTCAGAATAATTACCATATGAAAGCCATTCACTTATGCATATGCAGCTGTCTGATAGAAAATCCGGAAAATCCAGGAGAGGGAAGGGCCTTATCTAATTCTGCTTCAAAAGGGGTTCAGGATTCCAGGCGATATCCCCGTCTCCTAAACAAGCCTTAAACCGATCACATTTTTGCGTTGTGACAATACGGGAATTCGGTAACGAACGTGCGTACCGCTGGCGTACGTCCTGGACGTCCGTGTTCTCGCTAACGTTCGTCAGGGCAAAGAGAGTGTCAACGGAGAAGGCCAGGTTAAAGGCGAGGGCAGGGGTGAGGGCGAGGTTAAAGGTGACAGACGAGGCGATCGTGGCCCCTTCGTCGTTGCCGCCTTGGAATCCCAAGACGCGGCCCAATAAGATCCCCGCCGCCACGCCCGCGCCCACTGCCCCCCGTGACATTCGACAGGGGTTCTAGCAGGGACTCCTGGAGCAGAACTTGACCGAACACATCCAGCAGCAACATGGACGCTGCAGACGCAAAACGATCGCCGAAATTAATCCCGACGACATCGCCCTTACTTCGATCGACGAGTTAGATCTCTTACGGGGAACGACTATGCCGTAGGTGGCGGCGCCAATGGCGACTAACCGCGGCCCCATCCCAGATTCCACCCAATGCCGACAACTTTCCGTGGTAACTGGAGAACAGGAGGAAGGGGATTAAAAAGAGAGAATGGTTTCGACGATCTTCAGGAAGCCAGGCACAGTGCTGTCCTGCGGGTGTCCTGCGCTGAGGCACAGGACACCAGACACCATCTTCGCCGACGGTCATTTTCCCCCTGTAGGTTTGACGGCTTGCCCGGGGAGAAAACCTACAATTTCGATTTGTGTGTTACACTTGGATCGGCCTTCCTTAAATTTTCCCTTTCAAATCTGAAGATTAAATAAGAACTCTATCGGTTACGAAAGCTTGCTTCAATTAAGGGTCAATTCAAGTTGCGACGTTGCAAACGGACGCGTGACGTGAATTTCCATTGAGAATCTTCAATCAACTGCCTTTTGTCATGCGGGTTTTAATGACCGATAATAATAAAAAAAATAAGATGATTGCACCAACCTACAGAATCCATTGTCCGTTAATGGACAATTTATCCATGTCACATCATCAGAGGCAGAAAGGCCCCGAAAAGGTTTCCCTCTGACAAACTCTACCTTCCCCATGGCACTGCCCCATGGCACTGCCCCATGGCACTGCCCATGGCACTGTCCCATGGCACTGCCATGAGGCAGCGCTCGGCGCGGTAATAACGATAGAGCTCTGATAGGGTGAGAATATTATTGGTGAGACTAATGGGAAGAGGGACTTACGGGTCATAATCGATGAGGAACTGCAATATTCAGAGCATGCGCAGCCGAGGGCAAGTAAATGGGAAGGGATCATGGGGTTTATCCGTCGTTTAAGTACCAATAAGAGCGAGCTCGTCGTTCTCCCTTCGCAAACGGTGCTGGTTTGACCTCATTTCGAGTACTGCGTACAATTCCAAGGGACTGCAAATAGAGGGGATTTATTGGAGACGAAGAGGGCTCAGAGTCAGGATATTATATTGATGTGGGAGCTTTGGGGTTGTCACAGCAACGGCGTTTAGACGCGTGAGGACTTGATTCGCCGGACGGAAGATTGATTAAAGGGAATCCCATCCTGGCATTTTTGACCATTAAGGGTGTCGATGACGTGGAGTGCGAGTTTCCTCCTCAACCGTAGCAGCAGAGCAAGGGGGAATCCGGTTCGTCGTGCAAACCTTCAGACTGAAGTGAGGGATTAATTTCTCACTCGGTGCAGATGAAACTCGTTTTGACGACGCGAAGGCTGCCCCATCCGTGGATAATTTCAAGAAGAGATTAGATGCCTTCGAAGGCAAAACATAAAGAAGGGGAGCAATAGCTGTTCGTAATTAGCCAGAACACTGACGCGCTCTCGCCGAAATCATTTATCCTTGAGAGGAACAATCCTATTTCTATTCCAATTCCCATTCTTCTTAAGGGCGCTCGACTCGAAACACACAAAATCCGCAATCAAGCCTTAACCTCGAAAGACGAGGTTGATATTTTGCAGTTTTCGATTTCACAATCGCTCTATTCAGGTCCAGCGTCTCGGAAGAAGACGGGAAAGGAATCGGCAATGACAACGACAATGTCAATCAACAGAGAAAAGGAATTCGATGTTAGAATGACCGCAAGTCTGCGGCCCAGAATCGGCCAAAACCTAGTAATCCTTTCCGGTTTCAAAGTCACTCAAACTGCGTCCATCTCATTCGTTTTTAGATGGACAAGAAACTAGTCCGTTTTCCGGCAAAAAAAAATATTTATTGTCCCTAGGGCAATAATATCAATACGCGAATATCGCACACGCGACGATAAATGGAATGGCGCTCATGAAAAAGGTCCGAAAATCTAAATGAGACTTTCTCTCGTTTTTTCATGACAATCCCTCAAGAGCATCGAGTCGAACCGGGAGAATCATCGGTTTCATTCCGGTTCGGTTCGGTTACGGTTAGGGAAAATTACTTTGTGAATGACGCATCCGTCGTGAGGAAAAAAATGATCGTTTTCAAGATGCTATCCCAAGGCACGGGAAAAAGTATAACAGAATTTTAATGACATGCTGATATACATACTTTTGTACAATAGTGCAAAAGTATATGTAGTATGAGTACTTATATGAAACATCGTTGCACGCCAGGAAGCTGCGTTGAAATTGAATTACTGGGTTCGGACCGAAATCATTGGATCGTTGAATTATCTTCCAGAAGGATTTGTTGAAGACGGCAGAGGGCCTGGTAACACTGGGCTCTCTTCACGGATTCAAAGATTTATTCAGCCGGGGTCATGAACCCCAAGTGAATGCACTTGGAGTGCAAGGAAAAATTAAATTTGGAAATAAAAGGGGACAGGGTGCCCATTTGATAGACCTTTATCCTAGGTCGGTGCACCGGGACGAGTAATATGATTTCCTTACAAATGGAAATGAGCAAGGAATGGAATGCAAATCTAATTCGGAGAGTGGGAGAGAGTTTCCTCCGAGGATATATCTGAAGGAAAGCAGAAAGGAAAATAAAAACTGATTCGAGATTTGTTTAAATTTCCTGCATGAGAAACTTCGAGGCGTATTCTTCGGTGCATATTGAAAGCGAACAATAAATAATTTTTATGACAAGTTGATTCCTGTAAAAAAAAAAAATGAAACATTCTACTGGGTTAATTCGTTCGCTGGATTTAGATGACAGGTCCATTTGCACGGTCTCCATCTCTCTCAATGCCATTATCCCGCACTGTTTCAAAGACGAGGACTTGCTTCAATTTAGGTCTTCATTTATTGAAGGTCTGAACACAGGCTGGTGTTACTTGGTAAATATAGGTAAAATACTGGAAATTCCGATACCATTCGAAAAAAATTCAATTGTCTTGGGAACAGTTTTCTTACGTGCTAAGCTATAAAATAAAAACAATTTCGACCAATTACTCGCATCCTGTTCCCCATGAACTCATCACGAATATTTATTTCTAGGCATTGAGTCGACTACATTTGGAATCCCTGAACCGGGAGCTGAAGCTGACGTGCCTGAGATCGACGCGGGGAAGAGTAGAACCAATCGTGGATCTTTCCATCATCCTTACCCTCTGCCCGAGGGTTCACGAGGTTCGAACGTCTGAACTTGCGCGAAAAGATCCCATCCTTCAGATTTAGGAATATTTTCTCGTTCAACAGGTGAACCTGGCAAACACGGGTCTGACGAACGAGGACCTCTACACGCTGATGCAACTGGACACGATCACGTCGTTGAGCATCAGCGCAGAGCGGGAGCCTCAGTGGGACTTCCACGAGGGTCTGGCCCCTCTGCTCCAGGTCAAGGGTCATCAGATGGAGAGCCTCATCGTCACCGACTTCCTCCTCGTCGACGTGACTGGTAGGAGCGAGCGGCTTTTCGTTACCGGGTTCGCTCGGATTAAAATTTACATTTAGTTTATTTCACGTCGAGGGAGGAATGGTAATACCTCGTCGCTGGGAAATACCACAAATTTCAGGACAGGGAAAGGCAATGAAGGGAAGTGAAGGGAAGGCACCGAATCACTCCGGATGGTTCAATGACCATTTTGCATAGCACTGGATGAAGATATATTCCAAGTTTGGAGGTTATTACTGTTGAAATTATAGATTCATGCAAAATATTGCATATGATATATCTTAAAATTGTCATGTGCAAGGCGTTCCTTCCAAATACGCTCATTCAGCTTTAAAGTGACAAGCAGGTTTTGTCTGAGTTGAAAATTTCATGAAAGACCCTACCTTCTACCAAGGATGGATGCACGTGTTCAATAAGTAAATAAACAAAAACCCCTGTCGATGTAAAAAGGAATAGACCAATGTCGTGAAATTACATATCTACATTTCTTAAGCCAAGGAGCTCCATATGGTAACTTCATGCAAGGCAAATGCCCAAGTGCACAAAATCTAAAGCAAAAAGGGCTTCTCATTCACGTCTCAATGAGGCACGTCATATTACATTAAACTGCGATAACCTCTATCACAGAGCAAGAAATATCACAAGGGTCAGAGTCATTCTACAAACATCAACATAGCAGCATAAGGTGCCTGCACATGACTTTTAAATTTAAATTTAAAAAAACATGGCCACCATGATGGATCAAGCGACTTCAAAGGGGACTGTGAACAGAGAGTAAGTTATGGTCCTTGGGAAACATCTGGACATTCAGAATACTTGATTACGTTTCCGTAATTCTTCCTCGATTAACCCTCTCGCACTCAGCCTATTTTCCAAGTACCTGGCCTAAAACACTCAGGCGAATTTGGCTCAATTTACAAGTCTCACTTCAAATATTCACAAAAAATACAGTTTTGGTCAAAGACATATGAAAAAATCACACTTATTCACTATAAACAGTAGATTTAAACAAAAATAACCTACAAGTGCTAACACTATAAATAATTTGGAAAAAAAAATAAAAACTGAAAGAATTAAATATAGAAATTTAAAATTTACATAATTTAGGCAAAAAATAAAATTGTATTTTTGGTCTTCTTTTCTTGTCACCAAGCCTGTAAGAAAGAGAATATTTTTCTGTACATTTTGATATAAGTTTAATGCATGTAGAGCTCTCTGTGCTGCCACCTTTGAGCCATTTATGTAACTAAAAGAGCATGATTTAGACGGAGCCGATAGATCGGCCGCCTGAGTGTTCTGGCCATTACCTGACGCACCGATGGATCGGCGCGCTGAGCGTATAAGGGTTAAAAGAGAAGTGTGTACAAAAATTCAGCACATCGCGTCCACCGCCTGGTCACTAACTGGTCATCTTAACACATAGACTATTTTCTTGCGACTTGGCACGTTAGTTATCCTCGGAGCCTGAAACAAAAACACCTCCCACTGTTGGATTGGACGGATTTGGATTAGGAAAAGGTGGGCAGGGAGATTCTCCGCCCAACTGGCCAGAGAAGCAGCAGAGAGCAAACACAGGGATTCCATTCCTATCCATTCGAGACATGCACTCAACTCTCGCCTGATGACTCGCTCATTCGTCTCCGCGCCTTCAACTTTCAACTCGTCTCGAACGCCTTCGTCCAAATTGAGATCCTCAAGGCGACCTTTCAAAGGGGATGATGTTGAGGCAAGGATAACAGCTGATTCGACCAGATGACCACTACGCTGCGTCTCGATAATGCACGGCAATGAAAATGTCGTTAGACCCATTCCTTAGTTGGGTCTCAGTAATGGCAAATGAATTATTGGAGGCTCCCGAGTATTCCTCCCGAAAGGGGGAGGAAGGAGAATCGGCACATGGTGCACCGATGAATCGATCAGAAGGCGGCCTGCGAGTACGGACGAAGCTCGGCTCCACCCAAGTTCATCTGTCAAGGCCTGACGCTGCAGGGTGGAATGATTTCCTTCTTGGTCTAATCCCATGGTCAAAGTCTCACATTGTCGTGGTTGTTCGCTCTCCCCACGATACACGTATTTGTATATTAGCCTCATCATCACTATGTAGTTGCGTTCACGCAACTTCAGACACGACGGAACTAGGGAGTCACGACAAGCCCTGGCAGGACCCGACACGACAAGTCAAGACACGAACACATGCTCTTATTCCTGACACGGGAAGTCGAGTCATGAAAACATGCTCTCTTTTCCTTCCGACACGATAAGACACGAACGAGATTGTACGGTAGGGAAGCAAAACGTAATGCGCAAAACTCTTCCAATTGGTTCGCAAGTTTATTTATATGATGCCAGAGTAAAGGCAGACAGCGGTGGAACCATCTGCACCTAACCTTTTGAAGCCCCTTATGAAGCCACATTTCTCTCGGCACGCATCAGGCCTCGCTCATCTCTCCAAGTGATTGGATGTATACAGTTGCCTCTCAACTCCATGATGTAATCCAGGGTATTTATATGCACCTGGGGTGCACGAAACAGGGTTCCCTGCATGTTAAGCCCCATGCTTTCAGACGTGTTCAAGCCTACCCCTTCGTCGCTTCCGTCGACAATGCCAAGCGAAGGAGACAGTAAGGTTATGAAACTCGTTGCCAAGGTCATGAGACTCAGTCAAGCTCATCAAACTCGTCAGCACCCCAAGTCGACGAGATAATGATGGCGCATCTGCCGCTGTCGTGTCTTGATGAGACCGACTTGTCTTGTCACGTCTGAAATCGTTCGAACGAGGTCTAATGTGTCAAACGCCATATATAATGCGTGCCAGAGAATCTGTCTGGAGCCAAACGGAGCTGGAAAAAAATTAACGTACTTTTGGCAGCACAAGGAAGGAAATCTGATCGTTGTGGCCCACAGATGCTCCAAAAAGAAGAATGAGCATCAGATTGACAAGTATTTTTGCACATTTAAGCAAAGGACTCCTTGGCGAAAAGGTACAAACGGTATTTTTTTGTCACAACAACGCTCGACTCCGTCCGAAATTATTAAATTTTAGAAGAGAGGATACCCTAGCACATCTCAAAATCCAAGGAATCAGGTCACAAGACCTATTGGAACAGGGAAAAATTGACGCCTCGCTGACCCCACTTCAAGTTATTCCGAGGAAATTGTAATTGGCATCTCAGAGGCATAACCACTTCTCCCTACAGAGTGAAAACTTTTTGCTTTGCTTCGTCGAGCCTCAAGTTTCCCCAGATCGCTGAGGTGGAACAGTTGAAAACTTGGTGCAGCCGGCTCGTGATTGCGGATGCCATGGAAGAAATTGCCTTCATCGGTTTAAATTGAATGCCATTCGTGCCTTTTTTGCTTGTTTTTGTTTTGCAGAGACTACCGCCGTGGGACGGCTATTCTCCCGCTTCAACGATTTTACATCTTACCATATTATCATATCATTTACATATTATCATCTTACTTTCGCGTGGCAGCGATCTCTTGAAAAAAAAAACCTACGATGCCAGACAAGGAAGAAAATCAGGAAGAAATCCACGTGGAATCAGCATGAGAGCCGGTTTGAACGGACTGAAACCCAATAGCACCCGCGACGTAACTCTCGAGTCGATGTGCCATAGAACAGATCGATTACTCTTCACCCTTCCCCCGCACCTGTTACCTCCTCGAAGTTAATTTGAACAGCTTGCATCAGTCGTTGGTCTGATTGAGAGGTTTGCGAAGCAGGTTCTTATGTCATGGGTCATTGCAATGACTTCGCTTTTTCGTTGGTAACCTAAAACTTTAGAACAATCATGCGCATATCTACCCATTGAATAAATTTTCTACTTGCACTCTTGAAGATATGAAGGAGACCCTCGTGACAAGTCCATCATCACAGGCAATAGTTGCGACTTATGAGAGCGTGGCCCAAATAACCGATGCGTCATTTTAGCGCTGCAGACTCCTCTCTCGCCGACAGAGGGCCGCTGTCGGGCGAGGATTGCAAGAAGATCCAAGCTTAGCTCCAAGAGCCATCTAAGGCTTGAGTCTTGGCTTGACTTCGAGAATACTTTAGTACTTTCTAAATCAAGCCAAGATTTCAAGAAGTGAAAGATTGAAGCGAAATTTCACCTAGAAGTGAAATAGCTAAGTTTGACCGCGAAGTCAGATCATGGTCAAACGCATTATGGTACATTCGATGTGCCATTTCCCATGTGCAAACGCAAGTTGCAAGAACTTTCCAGCTTTCGGAAACAGATAACATCCAAATTAAAAACCGTCATAATGGGCTTTTCAGTAAATACATGACAATGTTAGCGCTTCATCCAACACGCCATATCTATTGGCAAGTGACCATTTTCTGTCGTCCTCCTTTTCAGGTGAATAAACTGTTTTTGCAGAAAATCCGTCTAAATCTTCTCCCCCTCCAACAAATATGAATTTTTTTGCATCCTAATTTGTGTTAAGTTACGAGGAGTGAAAAGTTACGAGGTACAGCCATCTCACCCTCCACATCGCTTATTTCCATTTCCTACGCTACTTTCCTTCTCTTTCCTGCTTGGCAGTGATAGGGCGCTGGTGCCCGAATCTAAAAAACCTGGCCTTCTCGGGGAATCAAGAGTACAAGCCCGTGCCTAATGGGATCCTGGGATCCCAATTCCCCAACCTAATCGCCCTGGAGATGTGGTGCTCCTGCGACACCCTCCTGTCCGAGTCCACCCTCAAGCACCTTCTCCTCAATGCCAAATCGTTACGGAATCTCCTCGTCAAGGGTTGCGATGTTTTCACGAACGAATTCATGCTCGAAATTTGGAAGGTTCGTCAGTCACTTCTCATGTCATCAACGCATCTAAGTATAATGCATGTCTGCACATTATATCTATCGAAGATATAAACATGGAGGCAAGATATTAAAATTACATTTGCATCTAATGCTCATCAAACAAGCATGAGTGAGGTCCCCGGATGGAAAGTGGTGTTCTTTTCATAGAAAGAATATTACTTCTCGCCAAATGAGGCAGAAAATTTTCTAGCGCTTTTTTCATGGTGCAATTCAACATCGTGATTCCAGAATGCAATGAGTATGAAATGACGCATCTTAGGATTCCAAGATGGCTGCTACGAAAAATTCGGACAAACTTAAGAATCAGGAAGCATGGGGTTATATGTGAGTGCAAGTTATGCATTCACTGTTTCACTCAGGTTATCTCGTTTCCATCGTGCAGGCGAACGCGACCCCGGAGCTGGCCCATTTCACAGTCCACGCCTGCCCCATCACGGGAGGACTCTTGACGGAACTGATGGAGAAGTCCCTGCCGAATCTGGACACGATTCGGATCTGGAACTGCGATGGTGTCACTCACGAAGACTACCGACACCTCAAGGACAGGGCCGAACGGGAAAACATGGAGATGTACCTGGAGTGGTACAGATAGCCGAGGCGATTGCGGATTGAAGCGTTCGACTCGGAAAGGGAGGAAACTCCGATGTCTTGTGAGGGGAATTCGAATTCGGTTCGGTTGGGGCCAGTTTTTTTGTGGGATTCAGCCCTCTTCCGACGATTGCCAAGCGACTCTCGTTCACCAAAGGAAAATATTTACAAGTGATTTAGATGCGTTTTCTGTAGTTTTTATGTCCGATGACAGCAGGGTAAAGATGCGGGGAAACTCGATGCTTTTCTTTCCCCCGTAAGAACCCGCGGGTTGGTTTTCTGATTTCTTGGTGCCTTTCGGCACGATACAAATTCCTCTGGATAGTCACAGGAAGCCCAATAGTGGAAAAAATATTTCGTTGATTTCCAACTGATTTGTATCTCTTCAAATGGGCTACTTAGGCTTATCATAGTAGATATACCCTCACCTCCTTGAATGCACCATAGAAATCAAATGGCACGATGCAAAACGTGATACGAATTCACTTGCAAATAATTACAGTCGGCTATAATACTAACGTGGCAAGATACAAGGCCTGGGAGCTTTATGCGGGTGAACACACTATAGGTTACCGCCTATTATGTAGTCGGAAGGATCATTATACCTTTGGGATGGATTCGGTGGGGTACAGACGCCAAGAAGTGAGGAAACAGGGCGCATCACGAGTCGCGAGCGCTACAGGAAGTCTCTCGAAGAGCATATTCGACCAGACGCCATCCGGGTCGTACCCGTTTCGATACACCTATGCAGTGTTTTTAATTTGAGTCAGAGGATTTTCCACGTGGATCGGAAACTTGTGCATGGGACATTCCTCATGGACGAGTGTCGAAGTTGAGAAAAAATGCCTGGCTCAACTCAAAACACTGTATCTTGAATTCTTTGTCGAGTGGGCAAAAAGCGATTTAGAACTCCTCTTCGCATCAACTTCCAGGGGCGGGGCACCTCTCCCGGCAAAGTTTGAGGTTCATTGAAGCGTGCGTGTACGTCAACACAACAAACAAGTCTTTCGAACTTGTGCCTTCCAAAAAGTATTCTTGTATCAATTTACGCTTCTTTTATGGCTGAACTCTTTGCTTATCACTGCCGTCTGGTGCTGTTTTGGTCTTCACACCCCAAGTGTCTTACAGGTGATTTTACAGATCCAAGCTTTATACGACGGGTTCGGTCGTTATATTCTAGTTAGGAGGTATGAAATTAAAAGCGTTCGCAGGGTTACATGAAAATCTCTGCGTTGATGGTAAAAAAAAAAGGTCCGCGCAACAGATCGAAAGTATGAAGCCAATTATCATCGGAACTGATCGGAAGCAAGCTACACGATCTGAACTTGGTGACGTCACACTGCGATGGGGGTGGTACCTCCCATGTCACGTGTCCAAGTTTGCTCGTGGAATTCATCTTGTGAACTGTTGGCGGAACCAGTGGGGCCCCCGTCACCTATGGAAATGTGGATCAGTCATAATTTCCTTAAAGTTGAAACAAGTGAACTAATTCTTGTCCGTGTGATATTGCTGTTTCTATAAAGAAAAGGCTACGACAATGAGTCTTAAAATCCTCAATAAAGCCATATGACGAATGTTTTCCATTCCATTGAGTCAACCCGTCTCGATGTATAACCTGCAGAGTCGAAAACCAATGGAAATTTTAAGGATTATTCATGTCATTGTAGCGTTTTGTCACCTTTCCACAGTTGTGGAGTGCCTTGGACTCGACGAGTCCACGAAAATCATTTCTCGTGGAAATAAATGAAACTTCCGTTCTCTCAAATCCATTTCATTATTAAATACAAGGTTTCATTCTTTTTTTTGTTTGCCAGGAATCCCTTTTACATATATACCTGTACTCAGAAGACTCAACAACAATGCCCTTCACAACATGAGGGAGAGAGGGAGGCGGTAGGAAGAGACCAATGAGCCAGGTGATAGAACCAAGTTCCCTTTGTCAGATCGAGAGGGGGAGAGGGAGATGGAAATTAGTTCAAGAAAAACACATGCACGAAGCTACAGTGCTCGTTTTCTCTCTCCCTCCCTCCCGGGAGATATATTCATATAATTATATACTGTTTGATTTTGAGCAACTTGGCTTTTCTTTCCTCTCTTTGCCCAGACACGAATCGACAACAGAGAAGCATGATGAGATTACCGTGTGCCATCACGAGGGAGAAGAAACCTCGCCATGGCAGGACAAGCAGCTGCAAAGTCAAGAGAATTAAACGAACAAAAGAGACATGCCTTTGCCTACAAAGGAAATCACAGTCAGGGACAGGAGATGCGGTTGTCCGGCCGGGAACCGATCGCCTTCGAGTTTCGGAAGATTTCAGACTGAAACGAACATAGAAAAAAAAAAAACAACAAACAAAAATGCCAACATGATCTCACAAAAAAAGGGGGGAAAAAGATTGAAGTGATGAGAATGAGGTAGTCTGGTTTATGTATATATTTTTTGGCTAAGGTGGTCAAAATGATTGCTGCTATCAAGCAGACTAGAGCGCTACCTAGACGAGGACCATCGGACTTTGCTGCCCCTCCCCAAGTGAAAAAAAGCTCCTAAAAACGATGTTCTTCCTCGCAAATGGAAATGCACACTGGCAAAACACTATTTGGCACTAGGCGAGTTTGATATACCGGTATCGAGGAGCCCAGGGAAGAAGAGGAAAACAAACATTGTCTTTCCTGTCGTTCTCAAGCACTCAGACGCTCAATGATTGATGAAGTACCCTGTTTGGCAGCGAAAGTGCACAGAAAGAGGAGCCATGATGATCACATCCATGCATTCAACCCACTCATAAAGACTCAACAGGGACAAGAGAGGAATATCCATGAGGAACAACAAATAGCTAGCTTCGGCTTCTGTCTCTCTTTGCCCTTGGCTATGGCTATACAAGCGGGAGAGCGAGACTAGACAATGCTTCTTCGGCCGTCGCTGCCCTATGGGAGCTGCGTGCGGCAGGGACGGCCGAGCGGAACAGCAACTTCAACAGCTTTGGCATTTCTGAGGCGGGAATCCCGGCATTTTGGAGCCAGAAAACTCAATCTCTGCTCAAACTCAATCAAGAACCCTGAGGGGTCCAAAATGTCGGGAACCGTTATTGCGATCCGTGGGAAATCTTTTGCAGTGCAGACACAAGAAATAGAAAAGAATCAAGTGGCAAGCCATTTGTAAACACTGCTTGAAAATTCAAGGCTCTAAGAAATCCGCAACCATCGTGAAAATCACAAACCCAAAAAAAGGACAAAGAAATACATTCATGCACAGTCTCAAACAAAAGGAAAAATATTTATAAATCTCATTTCTCATGTTATATCTCTGACCTAAAACACCCGTTTGTCCTCAGGACTCGTGGAATTCGTTTCTCTTGGGGTCAATCAGGAGACTAAGAGAGAGAAGAGACGATACAGTAGATTCCCTACGATATCGTTCGACCGACAAGAGCAGCTGGCCGATCGTTCATTGTGCACATGCTAAGTCGTCACCTTGCATCTCAAACCATTCTGGTTTGTACTTGATATGAAAACGTTTGAGATTCTTGAGGAGGGATGCATACTGCACCACTCGGAGGGAGGAACCGGCATCGACACTGGGGTTGTTGGCAACTCATTTTGGATCGGTCAAAAGCTGCCGAATCCCTGATAGCCTGGTTGATAGGGGTTGTTAGAGTAGGGGTTAGCATAGGGATAATGAGGACTAGGAACGTGGAGACTAGCCGGAGATGCATAGGGAAAGGAACCGGCAGGAGTGGAATAGGAGCCGCTTGAATACTGGCTGTAACCATATGGAGTCATGCCCATCCCTCCAAGAGTCATCCCCATTGGAGCACCCATGAACCCTGCTGTTGGGGCGATGAATGTCGAGTATGGGCTTGGAGACGACGAGTAAGCACCACGCATCGGAGGACTGCTGCTCGAAGCTAAATTCGACACAGAGTACGAACTGTGCAGAAACCCTGACTCGGGGCTGGAATGTGCTGCCACGCTGCTGTGCGCCAGAGATGAGATGGAGAAACCCTGATTGTTGTCCATAGGAGAAGCATAATTTGGAGCACCGTCACCGGCCTCACCATTGGCCAGGCTTGGGATCTGGTCAACCAGGGATTCCAGTCCTGACAAGCTTTTAGAAGACATGTCCTGCGGCCGCTCATCCTTACAGTAATCGACATGGTTCTGGTCACCAGCGGCAACATAGCTTCCATCAGATGATGATGGACCATAGTTGTTGGAGTGATAGTCAGTGTACATTCTTGTTGCTGCTGCTGCTGCTGCTGCATCTCCACCAAAGTTTGACTGACAGTCATCCTTGTTTTCAGTTGGTTCTTCTCCGCCACTATGTAGAGAATTGTCAGACTTCTCAGTTGGGAGATGGGCTGGAGGGGAAAAGTCAGCCGGGCCAAGACTTGGCGACGGTGGCAGTGGAGAAGACTCGGGGAGTGCGGCATCCAGGTGAGAGTACTTGTCTTCATCGGTGGGTTGTGGAGGAGGTAACTGGTCCAAGGTCTGATTTGGTGAACTCCCACTGTTCTCCGCATCTGTGCCTGAGGAAAGATTTTGATTATCCAGGGACATTGGAGGCACAGACGAATCTTTGTATTCTTGACCGCTGAGGTCCAGTGCTGAAGGGGGCGTTCCCTTCTCGTATTGCTTGCCTACATCATCTGCTGGATTGACGGTATTGTCATCTCCAGGGCTTCCTGACCTCAAGTCCACAGCCATCGACGTGGAACTCTGGTACGGTGGGTCAGGATTGTGATTTGCATGGCAGTCATATGGGGAATAATTCCCAGAATACTGCTGTGATTGAGATGAGCCCCCTGGATGAGGGGAGCAGAGGAAGTTCCGCTCTGAGTCCATCTGAGCCACTGAGTCACTTGAACCCTGCACTGATTGTTGGTGGTTTGACTGCAGCTGGAGTTTCTTGGGAGGTCGCCCACGTCGCTTTTTCACAACAACGCCATCTTCTTCAGGAGTGGGGATGCTGTGCTGCTCAGGCATTGGAGGAGGAGGAGGTGGTGGTGGTGGAAGCGGGAGGTTGGCGAGCTCCTCCGGTCGTATCTTGCGGGGCCGACCCCGCTTCTTCTTGAAGACATAGGTCCCTGTTGCAGGATCATACACAGGAACTGGAGGGGCAGGTGGTGGTTTGGGTTCTCCACCTTCATTCTCCTGCTTCACCTCCTTTTTGATACCGCCCTCAAGCATCTTGACATCGGGGAAAACCACTTCACTCTCATCCAACTCCTTCAGGTGGCCATTGAGGTAGTCACGCAGCTTCTTTAGAGCCATGTAGTATGGGACCTTATCAGATGCTCTGGGAAGCTGAGCACAGCGTGCACTTGAGGATGGCATCACCCAGATGATCTAGGGAAGGATGAACATACAGTATATAGAAACACTTCTAAGCACATTGATGATATATCATAAAATAATAATAGCATGAAAAATATTATGTTCCAGACTTACAGTATTCGTCCCATCCACTGTTTCGGGCTGCTTCCCAAATGTGAACTCCTTCTTCCCAGAGTACACTTCATAGATCCCTTTCCCATTGAACACAACAATCTTTGGCTTGAATTTCCTGATCTTGTCTGTGAGCAACAATCCACCTGAAACAAACACAATTAACAAACAAATTAAAACACAAGTGTCTGGGGAGAAAATCTTTATAATTCTAGCATACTCAAGAACAATTTGGTGGATAGGGTGGTAAAAAGCCAGCTGACAATAACAGTAATGAAATGTGACTTCCAGAGGGTCATTTCAGGGAACTGTCAAATCCAAGTTTGAATTTCTCAGTCAGCTGAGAAAATTTCAATAGACTCTGTGAAAGGGGACTTACCAAGTTTTTGACCACATAATGCCATACCCCATGATTGGGTCAAGTACATTCTGCCAGGTGATTAACCATTTGACCAGCACACCCGTAAATTTTAAGGACTCCTGTATAACAGGCATTTGTGAAACTTGCTGGTCAAAGGGTGAATCAGGTATAGTGTAATATGGCAAACATAACATGATGATGAACTTAAGCAATATCTGTGGATAAATGGGTCAGTTCTGATGATGGCTCCAAAATGGCTCCTCCCAGCTATCCTTTCCAACTAAACCGTCTCTATTTTTCATAATATCCTCTTGAAAGAATTCATCAATCATCAGGAATCTGTACTTGGTTGTGAAGAAAACAGTTAGATTTGTATTCTGATGGTTCATCCCTGGAATGAGTATAAAATGCAACAACCCCGATTTTTCAGGCAAGTCTCTCTATCTCTGATTAGCTCAAGTGAGGGTGTTAATAAGCATGAGAAAACCCTTCACAAGGACATGCTTTGGCATAAGCCAATAAGTTTTTAAGACTAATTCAGAATACTAAGCTCTGGATTAGGATGAAGATAATGCACATGAAATCAACATATTTTTCTTTTCCAGAGTTCTTGTTTGACACTGGGCTGGGATGTAAGAATGCCAGTATGATAGTCTGATAACTGACTCCATTGTAATGTCAAGATCAAGTAATGTTACAAAAGGAAATGATAAACAGCCCTAGTACAGACCTTCTTTCATTTCTCTTCGGGAGAGGTCCTGAGAGCCTTTGGTGGGACGGGCAACCATGTTGGTGAACCCAATGCCATAGCCAATGAGGCGATAGTCATCATCTGCAGTCATTGGCTCAGGAATCAGGCCAGAGAGGTACATGCATTTCCCTAGAAAAAAAAATTATTTCCCACAATTATTATACCTGTATATTTGAAACTCATTATATGTTAAACACTCACAGATGCTTCAAACACTTGATAGTATCTCCATCAGTCCATAATCAAATATATAAAATATTAGCAGAGGTACCCGGCATGCACAGGTGAATACTGTGTAAGTCCCATATTTGAGGGATTATCGTTTTAATGCCTCTTTGGCAAACCTGGCTAGAAATTGTTTACAACATGTAGCTTTTACTACACAACCAATTGGAAAATTCCAGTGGCAAGCTGCATGTTGCAGCTTACATTTTTTTCATGAGCCCCCAAAATTTTGAATCCTGGGGGGGGCTGTAGTAGCGAATTGACCAAATCTGCACTAAATAAGGGATGACAGGGGGTTGGAATTTTGAAATGCCACCTAGCCTATGACCACCCCCAAACCAAATGCAAAGTTTGGTTGGACTGGGATCAGAGGTGTGGCCGTGCACAAAGGACAGACACACAAACACTCTGAAATAGATTTTCAACATTTTGTTCAGAATGTTGTAAGCATACATTTGTCATAAAAATGCAACTCACAGAAGTGGTTCCCAGGGCCAGCATAGTGGTGACCCTTATAAGCGGCAAACAGCCCTGGATTAATGCCAACCTGAAAAAAAAACAACCATGTCATATTTGGGATTGGCACATCAGTCTTGCAAACAACATGTGAGGATGAGGAGTTCTCACAATAATGATATCAAGGTTGGGTGCTAGGTGATCAGGGAGTGTCCTCTGCTTCACGTCCTCCACACTCATACCATTAAAGCGATCCCATTTTTTCCTGGGCTTTGGTGCACCTATTTCCCCTGAGGTTTGACTAGGTGTTGGTGGTAGATCCTCATACCCTTGAAAAGAGAAGTCCATCCCATCCGGAGGCATCCTGAAAAGATAATTCACTTCTAGGTTAACTTTCATATAATCCCACGAGTGATGTAAATCATTCTCCACCGTTCACCTCAGATTCAATAATCATGAATGTAGTCACAAAGCTACAACATTTTAGAGTATTTTAAAGTACTGCATTCAATAATGTAATCAATGATAATTTAGTCATTTGGATCTTTCTAGATGAGGAATGTATTGAAATTTGAGAGTTCTTTGACTAAAGAATTTAATGTGCATCTCACCCATTCATCATCTCAGGTCTCAATTTCTTCTTCCTCCCTCTCTTCTTTGGCATTGGGGTTTCAGGCTTGATACCCATGGACTGGAAGTCAATTGGAGTTGTTCTATGATCCTGTCCACCTTCCTCTTCCACAAAGTTATATGGATCATTGGGTTCTGTTTTCATGCCCATGTATGGTTGTGGCATGCCAGAATGTTCAGGTCCTTGCATGCCATACATTCCCTGGTCAGAATGGCCAGGTTGAGGTTGCATAGTCTGCCCACTGTACACATATGGGCTGTAAGGGCTACCCATCTGCCCTTGATACATAGATGAATGCTCTTGCATAGGTGATGGATGCATAGGTGGGGTTCCATGTTGCATGGGAGAAGCAGCACCACCCATGTGCATGTGCTGAGTTGCATACATGTGCGGATCGGGTAGGTAGCGCTGCTGTGTTTCATACATGTTTCTGGGTTGCCGTTGTGGCTGGCCATTGGGATGAGGGGAGTGCATCATTCCATGCATGTGAGATGCCTCTGCTTTGATGCCTTCCATCCCATTATAACTAGAGATGCCAGGGCACTGCAGAGACATAGGCTGGTGTTGTTGAGCAGCTTGGTGATTTGGGTCATCACCATCCATGTTCTCCTCCTTCACCCTGCAAAAATCATCAAAATATTAACCCTCAAACTAATTCACTTTTCTGACTATACTGTCATTCAAATTCAATTCAGCATAAATTAAAAGATGTTTAACAAGTACAACCTGAATACAACACTTGTGAAGCCTTGGAATCTGACTAGAGCTTAAACATTTCATTAATTAAGAAAGGTAAACTATCTTCAATATAAGTATGGAAACTCCAGTGCTCACCTCACATCCTGATTGACGGACTGGCTCTCATCATTCTCGTCCATAATTGGCTGAGACAGAACCATCTACACTCAGTTGCAAAGAAAAGCACTGGCAACAGCATAGAGTCTACAGTCAGAAGCTAGCATCAAAAGTCTTATATCTGTTTCTGACTGAAGAAAAGCTTCCCTACACCACATAGAGTTCATTCCTGGCTGATCTAGAGCTTACTGGCAAAGATGAAATTCTCCAGGTTTTGAAACCTGCAAAGAAATCAGTGGCATCATAGTATCTACAGGCACCAACAAAGGCCACATGAGCATTCTAGAAGTTTGTGAAGAAGATCATGTTAATCTAAATTAGCCTATGTATGCAAGCACATTTCATACTAATCACACATTGACATTTCTCTGTACGCTTCAGAGACTATATGAGGGATGACAATGGGATATCAGACTTTCTTTTCTACCTTCTCAATTTCCAAGGTATGCATAGAACTTATTCAGCAAGACGAAACCTTCATTTCAAAATTCCTGACTTTGATTTAAATAAGCTATATTAAGGAATTTATCAATATCAGCAGGTATCATAGACAATAATGCACAAAATAAAACTTAGCACAAGGGCATACAGAGAAAAGAAAATTCAGCTAAATGGTTTAAAACTCATTTAGCAGCACTAGAGAAAGTCTCTGCTTGGTTTTACTCACAATGAAAAATGACCCTTGCAAAGCCAATCAGAATCAACTTAAAACCAGAATCTATTTAAGAATGCACAATACTTCTTACACATGCTTTCTAAACCTTAAGAGTGGTTCTATTTCGGATACAACTGATGGACTTGACAAAATCTGGAAAAGCAGTGATGAGTACATTAGAGTCAGTTATGTTGGGCATATAGGGGAAGGGGAGTTCTCAGATGCACTTAATATACAAGTTGATATCTGAAAAAAAGAATCTTCCTGCTGTTATTCAGGATTTACCATTTGCATGAAGCAGCAATGGAGATGGAGACAATCAGGTATGAAAGTAGATGCAAAAAAGGAAATGCTTTGATACAGTTAGATGAGAGTTATATTTCTGAAATTTAGAGCAGCAAATCAGTGTCGCTTGTGTCAGCAATACCCTACAACATGGGCACACAAAAAAATCAAGTTATTACCTGATGTAAAAAAAAATGCATCTAAGAGGACAAATCTTCCAGTGGTTTGTATTTAGAAATAATCAGTGCATATATGATGACTATCTTTGCCAGGCTGCACATCCTGGCCAAAATTCAATTTTACCCTGAGCTGATACTATGCAGTAAAAAACAGTAAGTCATGCATATGTGTGCAAGGAAGAATGAGAAGGTTCATAACATTTCCAGCAGTTCAAAACTTGAGTACAATGAATCACATAACAGAAAGGAGTCAAGTTTAAAAGATAATGACAAGCATTATTATGAATTAATTAAAATTAATAGATGGGAACAAGGTACAATTCTGAGGTCAACAATGGGAAAAATACATTAGCCACAAAAAATACATAAGGAATGCATAGTCTGAACAGCCTCACTCACACAAATAATATGATAGGCATGCATGCCAAAAAAGCCAACAAAAATTGGAGATGCAAATGTCACTGTTTAAAAGCCAAGGCTCTCTTACATCTAGGTACAGAATTGCAGATATAAATACTTTCATCAGGAGGGTTTTCCTTTTGTACATACAAGGAAAAGTAACAAATGAGAATTTGATGGGGCCAGCCAAACCTGGAACTGCAGTTGGGGCTAGGACAACATAATAATAATGGTTATATGTGATAGCTTTGATTTTGTAAGTATAGCATCAAATTAAGGATAATTGGCTGAATGTGAGCAAAACCTATTTATGGTGGGCCTAATGCAACTATAAATCCTTGAAGGCTTTGGCCTACATAGTCTGCAATGAAGCATATGGAAGAACTTGATAAGAATAAGTTGATAAATAAGAAATTCTGAGACTTACTTCCCACCAGTAGGCAAAGCATTTCTCAAGACAGAGAAAACAGGGTACAAAGCATGAATTGAAGCTTAAGCCTCCATTCAGACAAAGCACAATATAACTTGAGAAACATCAATAGGTTATATCTGTCTGGGATACACACAGGCAGAAATAATTTCAATGCTAACCAAGCAGAAACTGCCCTTGAGAACAGTTGAGGAAACAGCATAAAGAGATGCATATCTGTTCTATTGCAGATAATATGTGTGGTGCTGTTGGTCAACCATCAGCAATGTGAGAAGTAGCTTTGGTGACTCACTGAGCTCCTGATGACTGCAAGCCAGTTGAAACTTACAAAGAGCCAAGAGGGTGACTCCCTTCATTTTTCCTGTGGGCAGACTGGTGGAAGCCACAGAAGAAAGAAAAAACAAGGGAAAGAGCAAACACCAAACTTTGGAAAAAAAAAAACTCCTCTTCTCCAATGTAAAATGATTGGCCTGATTGCAACATTACAAACATGAAGTAGTGTGGCTGGTTTTTGTCAAAAGTGGAGAGCTTATTCTTGATTTTGAAGCTCCAACATAAGCACATCATGAGATATTTAAGACGTAAACCTCTACATCACAAGCTCTATTGGAATTTTTCCCATTAGCCTAGGCCATGGCCAGATCTATTAAGGCTAAGCTAATGATGGGTATAACATTAGTCCAACTTCAGTTAAGGACAACTGTGCATAGGTGAACATCCTGATACAAGAAAGCTCTGTGAGAGCAAGCAGTCACTTAGGTGACTCACCACATTAAGTCAACACCATACCTTTGCTATGCCATTACAACTGAGCAAGAATGTCCATCCAGAAGTAGAGCATACTAGGTCAATTAAGCTTCTATTCGAGCCTAGGCCTAGCCTAGCCTTCACTGGTTTCCAGCGATTTTGTGGGTAACTTGTATCACTTTGGGCATGGGTCATGCAGATCCAATGGGTTACATCTTCTAAGAGTCCACAGAATCGTTATGGGTATTGCAGAAGGTAACACGATTTAAAGTCGTCACCGCCCTTTTTTCAAGTTATTTTTCAGATTTCTGAATTATCAGAGGCAGTGACGGGAGACAGTCATGTCAATTGCGTCGCGTAAGGTTGGTGACCATCCATCAAACCCATTTTCTTGCAACACCAAGGCCTCATCACGATGTCTCCTCCAAACGCTATTGCGAACGTCACACCTAATTTTAAATGACATCAGTCACGTACTACATTTCAGGATGAACGTTAGATTTAGCGTCTGAGCTTGGAGCTTGACCGTCGGGTCAATGTTCTCATGATATTTCCGGGCGAGTAACAACGACGAGGCCTAATGCAGGAAGACGACAGTCATTTTTCAAGACTGAAGTTCAGGCATTTAAAGATGAAAGAAAACGAACTGAATAACAGCCGAGAAGAAACGACGAGGGTGAACGTCCCCCGATTGCTACAACACGCAATCTATAAGAACCTTTAGGAACCTCGTCCGCCATCTTCCTTTCGTGGGCACATTCGTCAATAGTACACACTTCACAATCCGACACACCCATTTTTCATTCTCTCATCTCTCGTATCCGAATCCCTTTTTTGTGACCCTCCGATCTGTCTTCCTCCAAGGAACAACCCTATTTTTCATTTTAATCCAAAGCCACCCTCTTTGGACATCTATAGGATTCGTGGATTAGTGTTGGTTCGAAGGAGCGCGGAATTCGAAGAAACGTGAAGGATGAAGTCAATCGTTGAGACATTGGAGCCAAAAGGCCTTGCGAAAATAAAAGAAATTATGAATGGAGCTCAACCTCTGCCCTTGAAGTACTTGGGAGATCACCTTTGGACATTAACACTATATCCTCAGTAAAATATACATCAGCGCCATCTCGTGAAACTTTTGCCTAAACTAATGGCAGACCGTTTTCAACCCCCAGACAGGCAGTGAACAACCTTTATTGGGACGAGAGACGAAAAGGAGAGAGTACAGGTAGAAACCAGCCTACGCGAAAGATAGAGCGGGAGTCAACACGAATAATTTATTCCGTCAGAGTATAGAGTCGCTCTTTAGAAGAGGAAACACAATGGGCACGTTGCCACGGCCTTAAGGATAACTCCGGCAGCAACCCTGCCAGCGGCAACCCTGCCTCCATTCTTCAGTCTGCTCTCTTCGCCGCGTTTGGCAGGCCGACTCCCTGAGATCGAGATCTGTTTCCCGATTTGCACCTGTGCTGCGTGTGAAGGGATCGGAACGTGAGGCAAAACCTGATGCCAAGATTCTTCGAGATGACATTTTGACTTCTCGTTCCACTCTTGCAATCATTTTGTGGAAGCACTCAGGAGTAGATGATTTATAAAAAAATGTTTTTTAGCTGCCAAACTGAAAACCTCAGATTTATATAAATGCTTTTGAGCGAATTCTTTGAGCCTTTTCCGAATTATTCCAGCTTTTTCACTTTATTTTGTCTGCTTATTTTGAAAAAAAAAGTAGAACACGAAAGTTGAACACGAAAATCGACTGTGGCACGAATACAATAGTGGGAAAATCAACGATGCGCCAACTGAAAACAGGAAAGACTTTCGACTGGCAATTCATACCGTTCTATTCTTCAATTTATGGGCTAAAAAAGTTAGGTGCGCTTCGAAAAGCAGCCGAATATGAACCAACATTATCGATGGCAATACTGTCCTTTGTTTTGAAGGGAGGACGGAACTGTATCATTTTTGTCCCATTATTATTATTACAGGATTAAACAAAGTGAAAGTAATTTCAGTGATTCGTGAATGAACTCAGACTCCCTTTAAAATGCTTTTTCCAAATTTGCTTGGAAAACGTCGGGATGTGCCCAAAAAATTGCATTCCTGGAAGAATCCAAGCAAATTCCCTTGGGAATCCAGGCCAATTCCTGTGGGAACCCCCATTTAGAATGACTCTTCCTGACAAATTCAGTTAATGAGCCAACCTGGAATCCCATTTGCCTCCTATTCGTCCCTTTATCTCCCATCAACATCGAGCCATTCCACAAATTGAAGGACGCAATCCGTGAGAACGCTTTCCGTGATTTCCCCTCTTTTTTTCTTCTATTTTTTTTTTTTTTTTTTTTTAGCAAAAGCAATCAAAACATTCAGATTCCCCCTCCCCCCATACCGCAAATACGGCGATTAAATAGTAGAGATGGGATGCAGAACACACACAGGCCATTCGGCGCCCTCAAATGACCCCAAATGCAGAGGCAATCAGCCCTAAATGTAAGAAACAGCTCACACCCGTGCCCACCTCGCATCGAAAATCCGTCACAAGTCGCTCGAGAAAGCCCACAATTCTGACTGAATTTGCGACGCTTCTCACAGTCTCCACCCCCTCCCCCCTCCAACTCGATTCGCAGTGTACCATCATTGCCATATCAGAACCAGTTTCCCCGGTCTGCACGAATGAAACTCCGTGGGACCCCATGCATGATTGAAGAGGTGCTGAAAGCCTCGTCCTCGCTCGTCCTCCTCGGGGACGGAGCACAAAAGGAAGTCACCAATAGGCAGTATGGGAGTCCCTCTCGTCGGGGAGGAACTCTTCCTCTCGTGCGTTGCGGATTGCCATTTATTGCCAGATGGATTTTCTCCGTATAGGCAAATTGGCCATGTATTGTTTATATGTTAGATAGGTGGTGGTCGGAGGCCGGGGAGGGGAGCAGGGGTGTACACGCCATGAGTGTCTGTTGGTCCATGTGAGGTACTTTTTAGTACTTTTGGCGCTTATTGAGTCGCGAACCCCCCTGAGGCCGTGCTCTTAGAGACGAGTCGATACATTCTTTCTACGGACGAACTCGGCACTTCAGCAAAATTTATTTCCTCAGTCAGTATTCTGTGCCTGGGAGCCCCCAAAGTAGGCTCATTCGTCGGAATGGGTTCCGTTCAAGGGCATCTCGTTGGGTGTTCATCGTTAGTGGCTTAACAGGAACAAATCACTCAACCAATTCAGTCTTTCATCACGGAAATAAGTTTTTAGAGCCCTCTTCGAGTGCAGGAAGCAAAATGCCAATCATGGACTTCTTGAGCGTGGAAGTCTTACCGGAAAGGGCTCTACGAAACGAGAATTCACTTCATTAAAATTAAAAAACAAGGCGCTATCACGCCGCACAGAGCCAAACAATCCATCGCGATAAACGAACCCGAAATCGTTCGAATCCCCTTTCTTCGAACCCCGGCCGTTAGAAACCGCCTCGAAGCACGCCAAGCTAAAAGGCCCTTCATTGTATCGGAGACACCACAGCCGTTTTTCCTCTGCGACTGAGTAAACTCAGAGGGAAACGAATGGCGCTTGGAAAGGTCGAGGTCATTTGGGTACCTGGGACCTAGGAGGTTCAAAAGGCGAGGAGAGATTTAAAAAAAAAGAAGAAAATTAGTGCATTTAACAAATATTTATGTTTCAAAACTCAATTTTTAATGGTATGCATGGTATATGTTTAGTATATGTATGGTTAATATTTTTTTCAATGTTTTAAGAATTTTACTTTTTTAAGTGTATTTTTAAATTAAACTTTTATATTTGTAAAATTTAAATTAGATTTAAAATGATTAAATATAAACCATTCAATTAAATTCTATTTAATTTAATTTAAGTAATAATTAATGCATTTAAAAGGGGATTGCAGGGTGCGCAGCGATCCAGATCTAGTCTGTTCGAAGAGATATATATATATTTTAGTGATTTTATTTTTTTAAACTTTAGGTTGACCTTATATATATATTTCTTAAAAGGCGCTTTGATATTCGTGAAGGCGAACATTTATTCGCTTTGCAATCTGATATTGAGCAGTTTCTAAAGAGTAATTTGTTCGGAGCAAGGAACCGATCTGTGGGCCGTGCCTGGCAAACTGACATGGCTTGCAAAAAACAAAAACAAAAAAAATTGACAGCCTTTTGCCGTCGCGTAAGATTCGAAAAGATCAGAGTCAATAAATGAATTTTAAAAATTTATGTTCGAAAACGAAATTCAGCAGTTTTATGAGGGGAAAGTAGTAAAAGGAGGAAGAAATGAGGAAAAAAGAAATGACGACGGGAAGAAAAGATTGATACGATTGAAATTTGACATCAATTTTATTTATTTATTAAAAAAAAATATATATCCATCAATCTCAGTGAAAAAAAAAAGATATTGATTCACGAGTCGACCTCGGGTTTCAAACTGCAGGAGTCTCGGCGATCCCACGCGATTCTTACTCTCTTGTGTCCCAGAGTTTTTTTAGCTTTCTGATTTCCCTCGTTATTTATTGCCATTCTACACTCATGTCTTCCTCTATCGCTGCGGCTGTCTCGCGGAGTTGACACCCGGCCAACTCCTCTCCCTCGTGCCGTGCCGTTCGGCTGTTGCGAACTCACCTCTGGGCTTCCCACTTTTTTTTTCGTGCCAGGTTTCCGTGCCGGTTACCGTGACGTCACGGGCGGCGGCGGATTGCGGCCGTTTCCCCTACGATTCATGGAAACGTCATTTTTTAATTTTCCAGAGCTCGCGAAGATCCACGACATGATAGGAGCATTAGGGGAGTTTTATTTCCCTCATTCACCTTCCCTTTCCCTCTCTCTCCGCCTCCTCACTCACTCTCCCCCCTCCCTCCCTAGATCCGCCCTTAGCCAGGACTCCCCGCTCGGGACCGTTGAGCCTCGTCGGCACGGTCCCCCGAGACGAGGAATGCGATGGGCCGTCACTGGAGGGCAGGGCAGGGGGAGGGGAGAGGGGCGAGGGGGGAGGGGGGAGGGGGCGAGGGCGGTGGACGACGCCAGGGGATCTCATGCGTTCATTCGCGGTGGGGAGCCGCAAATGCGATTCCGCAGTGCTGCCATCTTGCGTCATAATGGTTTCTCCCCTCAGTTTTTCTGCATCGAACTCGTTTGTAAAACGTGGAATCCACCTTTCGCAAGCATTACCTCCGAAACTGAGGTCTGGAATTGCCCATTGAATTCGGTGGGCTTGTCGAAACGTGAATTCCCCCTCCCTCCGCCCGTAAATAATTTACGGAGAGGGTGTCGTGGATTCTCGTCACGGGTGACGCGCGAGATAAGGGGAAAGACCTCCCAAGAAACCGCATCGAAACTCGGCTAGGTCAAAGAACGAACGCAGCACCATTCCTTCCCCCGTTCAACCCCGGGCAACGAGGATAAAGCCCCCCCCGAGACGCAATAAACCCCCGACGCATATCCCCCGCACACGGAAAAGAAGGGAAACGGAGCCAAACTATGCACCGAAGGCCCTTGAGTCATGGAGGGAGGCCGAAAATACCCCTCGTGGGGTTAGATGAGTCAAGCCTGGGGCCTGCTTGGACCCGATCCAATCGAACACCCCCCCTCCCTTTTTTTCCCCCTCTGCAGCCGCCGAGCAGAGGGGGGGCAGCCAACGTCAGGAATAGACGCATATCCAGTGAGTTTGCGTACTTGCCACCAGGGAGCCGGAGGGCATTCGGGGCATCCCGGATCGATACAGGCCTATAGGCGAGGCCTAGCCTAGAGGGGGTGAAGCCTCGCTCTCTCATCGATCTCCCCCCCGAGTGCAGGAACACAAAGACGTGTATCGGACCTGGGATATCTGCCGAGCCCCAAGGTTTCCCACTGGCGATGACGGTGTGCTTGCAGTGAGATAAGCCAGGGCCTTCGCTCGACGCTACGGCACGTCGCTCGTGAATGTGTCGGGAGTTTCACCCTCGGGTCTCCTCGTCGGGTTTGGACTAGCGGAATCGCGTTTCTCGTGCTCGGTAGTCGCAGTCTCTCGGTGCAATGTCCACTCAAAGAAAGCGGAAGCTTTTGGACGAGGACGCAGGATCTCCTCTCGGTAAGAGAAGGGATCTCGAAGGCTTTGCATGCCGGTAGGCCTAGGGAGGCGAAAGCCTCCGGGCTCATAAATCCCGTGCTTTGCTTCACCGTTCCTATCGTAGCCTAGGCCTACCTATCAGTTGGCTCCACCGTTTCTTACTCATATCGCTTTTTTTTTTTTTTTTTGACGGCAGCATTCCGCTAGTTCACAACCGAAATGAGAGGTTTATCTTATCCCTGGAGACATGCCCATGAAGTCAGTCCGATATCGCCATAGAACCACGCCCAGGGCTAGCCTAGATAGCCTAGAGTATGCCGAGCTCACTAACATCGACCCTACAGCGGATAGGCATAATGGATCAGACTGCTACTAAATCTATGTTTTAAAGTCAGAGGCATCATGGTCGTATTTTGGGCCAACTCAGTGACTTTGTGGTGTGGATGGTGACAGGCAGAATTTTAAGTCCTGTGGTCATTTATGAGGCGTTCTGAGGAACAGTGATCATGTGCTGAACATTGAAATCCTGAGACACATTAAAGAAGACTTGAAATGCTCTTTTATGTGCACTAGGCCTATTTTTAAACAAAAAACAAAACTCATCTAAGCATATTAGGCTTATTGAATCTATTCTCATGAAATTCATTAATTGGGCTTTTTTTTTCCTCCTTTCTTTATAGGCACAGGAGATGATACTGGGATTTCACGTTCAGGGAGGTTGAGGAAGAAATCTTCCAAATATAGTTTAGACTTTGAGTCGTTGGAGGAAGGCCAGAGGGAAATGCATGCCAAAAAGAAGGATCCAAGTGAGAGGCTTGGATTTAAAGGAGATGGGATACATGGCAGACTCAGAACATCCTCAGCCTCTGAAGATGTGAGAATAATTGATTTGGATATAGTTTTTTGACATAGTTTTTTAAGAGTCATTCTCATCTTTGCTAATCACTTGACTTCTCTTTTTTAATGGCCTTTTGGCATGTCCTAACCTCATGGGTTGCAGTTTTGGGACATAGTTAAGTTTGTATTTCCACTATCCACCTATTTGTTAAACTATGTTAACCCCCATGCCACTCCTTCCCAAGTGAGTTATACTCACAAGTATGTATGATCAGATATGCATACTTTTTCATAGAGAGTCTGCTTTATTTGTTTTTCATAGCTTCAATAACATCATCTGTGGTTACTAAGTCCAGTCTGGGATCATGATCAAAGCATATGGCCTATCTATTCATTGACAAAAAATGGAATGAGATTGGCATTTTTGCTGTTGTGCAAATCATGCCAGTTAGGACAGGTTTATTGGCAAAGTCAGTGAAAAAATCAGATGAAAGCAAAGTGCATTGCTTATGTAAAATGTTTCATTGCATTGTCTGTTGCCCTACTCAGGAAAATGGATACTAGGTTGCAATAAGGTGGGAGAGAGCAGTCACATTGTGGACATGGGATAGCATCTGTAGGTTTAGACCTAATTCATCCTGGATGGCTTGACATATCAAATGTGGAATGTATAAAAGAGGGTGGGGGATTGATGTTATGAACTATGTCCCACTTTTGTTTCTTTGATTTTGTGCAGGATGACCTGGAAGGTGTGGAGGGTGAAGATTCAACTGAGGAGGAATTCAATGATGGTGAGAATATAGTAGTGTGCTATTCAGTAATTATAAGTCATGCAATTGGTACACATTGCTTGTAACTAATTGTTCTATTGATGCACATTATATTACACATTAATCAGGAGTTTAAGGAATCAAGGTTATCAACCAAACCTTTAATCTTTTTATGGTTATTCCATTCAATCCATCCTAGATGACAGCAGATTGGTGGTTGATGAATCAAGGACACCAAAACCAAAACCAAAAACAGACAAAGCCAAAAAGGTGAACTGCATGTGTTTATCTTTGCTTGGGTGTTTTTCCTTTCATGCTCTGTTTGATAATTGTGCATCTTAAGTCTATCTGCAGGGGTGCTAGAAATCCAATCATCTTGCATCATTTGTAACACTTTCTAATTAATTACATGTGCCCACACATACCAAATTGAGGTCCTGCAGATGCTCTAGTTTTGAATTAGAACTGGACCTGAGGGTCTCTACTCAGCATTAGATTTGGTTTGTTCCATTTTGTTCAGCTCAGTTGTCTTGCATGCTTTTGTTGTTTTTTTCCTTATCATCTCCTGTCTTGTGGTGCTCTGAGTTTTTCGCATTTTGTTTGTCGTTTATTTCATTCAGCGTTCCAATGGCTTGGAGTGTTTCACTTTTGTTTGGGCTTGCTTCATGTGTGCCCTTTCCTGGTATGTTCCTTTGTTCTGACTCAAGAGTGTGCCTGTTTTCGGTTAGAGTCTATGTTTTTAGATATTCACAAACTCACATAGACATTGTGGCCTTGGAGCCCAGGACAAGGCCAAGTGCCGATCATAGCAAGTCTAGAGTATATCTGAGTGAAGAGTGTGCTGCTGTGTTGTTGAAAGTCTTCGGGTTTCCTGCCCTTTCAGACGGAGGCCAAATCCATGTCTGCTAGCGTAGAAAGTTCCAATTCAGTGATTGACGACATGGATGGAAACGACTCAGATGAGGCAGTGAGTTCTCGGGAGAGTCCCATATGTAAAATGGAGTGCAAAAAGGAATCAGACTGCGAGAGCAGCTCGCCCTCCTCTGATCGTCTCACCCCAAGTCCCACCAATGGCATTCTGCGATCCGTCCTCCTCTCGTCTCCTGCTCCTCGCACCTCACCAGAAGAGATGGAAAAGGTGGCCAAAAAGAGGAAGCTGGAAGAGATTCTTCTCTCAAATCCTAAATTTGCCCGTGTGTATGAAGATGCTGGGAAGAGCTCTGGACATGTAAATGGGGGTGGGAGTGGAAACCTAAGTCATCTGGAATCAGTTGGAAACCTGGCTGCTCTTTCACACATGATAGTGAAGCCCGAATATGATTCAGACGTGGAGGAGATCGATGATGAATATGGGATTGGAACAGACAGCAGCGTTGGTGGGGAAGAGCTTCGTCTGAATCCCACAGTTGAGCTTAGTGAAGTCTTCTGCTGTGTCCCTGGCCGTCTCTCTCTCCTCAGTTCAACTCCCAAGTATCGTGTCACTGTTGGTGAGATTCAGCGACGCCTTCAGCCGCCAGAGAGTCTGAATGTCTCCCTGCTGGGATCCATGCTTCGTCGTGCAAAGGCCCGCAATGCAGGGCAGGAGCTGCGCAATCGTCTTAATGGCTTGGGCCTTCACATCCCTGCAGGATGGAGACGGGCATCTTGTCCCACGCTTCTGACAGCATTGGTAGAAGCTGAGGCCGTGATGCTGGCCAGGGACTTTGGCCGTCTTTGCGAGACCGATTTTCCTGCCTTCCCAATAGCAAAGTACCATCATGATGGAGATGTGGCTGCCAAGGTGGAGCCCCTGCAGCGTAAGTCCATGCTTTTGGCAGCAAGAGAGGTGATGAAGGAGTTGGTTCAGACACTGAACCAAGATCGCAGTCCCTTGTGCCACACAAATCCCCCACCACTTCTCCCAGCTGGAGTGCAGGAGCCCATGGAGACATTTTCGCGTCTCACCCATGGCTTTGGTACTCCTGCCATCGTGGCTTCCCTCACTGCCGTTCAGACATACATCGACGAGTACATCCGCATGATCGACCAGGGGTCACTTGTACAACCACCCAAACCCAAGGATGGAGAGAATGGCCAGCATGCTCATTGAAGCATCTGGCACATCGTTGGCATTCAGTTTCGACTCTGGGATTTGCCTAGCCTTGCTTCTCTTTCCCTTTGAGTGACTCCTCGCATTTTCTACTGTGAGAACATCATGTGCATGCATTTTATTTTTCACAAATCGCATGTTAGACTCCTTGTCTCCGAAACGCAACTGCTGTGTCATAGAGTTGGGATGGATTGTGTCAGGAGTGTGACAATGATGTTTAGGGTGCATACTTGGACAGGTACTTCATGAAGAGACAAATCCATGAAAAGCAAAGTCACCATAATTTTGTGGAAGATTTTTATTCCCCTAGTATCTTATTTTCCTACACTAATTAGCATTGGTAGGCAAAGGTGTGAAGGAATGGAAAAAAGACAGGCTGATCTCTGTCAGTTGATTGTCAGCAAATGCAGGCATCATACATGTGAGAAGGATCATGGGATAAATTATTCCTAATTTATTCTTGAGTAATTTTATTTCCCTCATCAGATTTTTGGGGATTATATACTGGAGTGGTTAAGATTGGCATTATGTTTTAGTGAGAGGACATCTTGTATCCAAAACAAGGAGAAGCTAGTGACCAGTACCACAATTGGCTGCATTATGTGCAATGACCCGCTTCCCAGGAGGCAGCTGAGCTTTGCTTCTTGAATGCCTTCTATTTTCTGTTGAGCGATACCTTATATCTATGGTCAAATTTGCCACCTTTTTCCTTCATTCTCAACCATGATCGTGTCCAGATGTGCATGTGACGTATTTTCCTAAACCAAATGAATATTTACGTGGTACTCGTGATCAAAGGAAAGTTTCTCCTGTCCAGTCTTCGAGTGCCTTGTTTTTAAAAAGGGCTTCTTTTATTTCTCTTATTACACTTGGTATCATATTTAGTTTCATTGCAGAACCATGTTGAGGTCTCCTCAGTTGCCATCCAGTGTACGCTTGACCTATCAGCCAGTATTCTGGCATGGAAGACTTTTCTTTGTTTTTAGTTTTCAAGTGATCTCGTGGGTAGTTTCTAGAGTTGTGCATTAGGAGTTGCTCGTTTCATTTTACTTCCATTTTGCAAGGAAGAAATCAGTTATTTGTGTTGTGATTTCCCCCATTGATTTTCAGTTACCAATCGAATTTGTACTAGTCTATGAGTGTGATTGAAGCATAAACAGTTTTCATACAGGATGAGGTTGACATTCATTTCATGTTCTTGGTGGAGTGGTAGAAGTTCCTAAGCTAAATAAGTTTCTAAGCTTTTCCAAGGATGAGTGTCCAAGTGTCAAGTGAATTTTTGGAAAGCATTGGAGAAATCTGCTGGTGATACATTCCAAGACACTTGGGGCTTCCTGGATCCTCAGGAATCCTGTCAAGCCAGTGGAACCATCTCCTTAGTAAACTTTGTTCATCACTATTGTTTTCAGGGGATTAGATGCATAGCAAGGGAATATAATGAAAAACCTAACCCATTAAGTTGACAATTTTTTAAATTGTAATATGCTTTCAGTTTTTATTTTTTATTATTATGGAAAACAAAAGAGGGATGTTCAGCTTAGTTATAGCCACATTTGTTTGGACTATTGCTTGATCTTTGTTTGGTGGTTCAAATGCTTTTTGTTTCCTGAAGAAGATTGAAGAAATAGGCTTCACACAATGAAGTATGTTTAAGAAATGAATAGCCAAAATCTTTGCAGTCACAAGTGTGGTTGGGATCATACATTTGCTGAGACAGCCCATCGCAAGAATGGCTTGTGGCTTGCACTGAGGTGAACTTTAGGGAGAGGTCAGATTGATTACTAAGAGCAGAGACTTTTACTCCTGAATTACTTCCTGGCAGTAAATCTGATTTGTCAGCAGCAATTGTGAAGATTTTTCAGAGCATACAAAAGCAATTTTAAGGGATTGGTATTAAATTCACATCTGGTTGTGCAAGCAAGTGTGAAAGAAGGACTTCAATAATATTTTTGTGTCTTATTGATTTTATTTCTTCAATTGACTTTACTGTGGATTTCAATATGGGTCATGAATGTACAAGACTTATCTTTAAATCCTGGAGTTGTTATTTTTACAATAAAAAAGGGAAAACCCCAAATATTCTGGTAACAGAGCGGGAAGAAGTCCCTGTATTTCTCTGAGAACATGGGAGGGCGAAAGCCAGGGAAAAGTGTCATCCGAGGAAAGAAGGGTGTTCCTGGTGCTACAGGCCATGGCAAGGGTGACTTGGAAAAGGTCTGTTAAGAAGTTTTTAAATGTTCTTTTATACTAATAACAAAAAAGTTCTACTGTGTTGAAATGATATGGTTTCACCCTAACAGAAACCTCGTGTGACAGCATACAATCTATGGGCTAACAGTGTCCGTGGGGATATACAAAAGCAGCACTCTGACCTTGGCAAGTGATTTATTCATCTTTAAAAGTGGTTTTGGCATTTACTGAGAGTGATAGCAGGAACAAATTTTGCAGATATGGCTGGCATGAACCGCAAGTTAGGGGATATGTGGTCCCAAGTATCTGCCTCTGAGAAAATGGTAATCCCACTTGACATTTAACAATTGCCAAGGTAATTCCCAAATACTAGGCTGCCATTCATGAGGATTTGTTCCTAGGTGTGGAAGCAAAAAGCAAAGCAGGTATCCCAAGGATTGTTGGGATCTGCCAAGATGAAAAATACTACTGGAAAGAAGATAACACCAACCAAGCGAGATGTCTCTGAGCCAAAAAGACCAAAGATGAAGCACAGTGGTGCATACAAGTTCATGCCAGGAGTACAAAAGCATGCCAAGTTAGTTCTATTGGTGTGCTGTCATGATTCTCATAATCTCACCTGATACTGATGAGTTGGTGTTCTGACAGGGGAAGTGAATCAGGTGCTGCTATTGATTTGCCCTATCCTCAAGCCAATTTCAAGCCTGTGGGGACGAAGCCCATTGATGCTGCAGCTCACTTGAACCTACTAGGAGAGTCTCTGTGTCTCATAGGAAGGGGGTTGTTGGAGCAGTCGGTAAGTCTTGACTTGGTCTGCAATGTTTCATTGGCATTACAGTATTAAAAAAAGATACCTTCCTTTTTCTCTCGGCAGGGTCGTATAGCTGTTTCAGGCACTATGTCTGTATTGCTGGACTCCTTATTCTGTGCCATTTGCCCTCTCATGTGCCTCACTCAGCAAGTTCCCCAGCTTCAAAGCTCCATACCTCAAGAATTATTATCTAAGACATTGGACAATCTTGCATACATCATGCCTGGCCTCTAAAGAGGCAGTTGTGCTCCAGTGTGGATGTACCACTGAATTCAACATGAAGGATAGTGGTATATCATCATATGTAAAGTGTATGTTCTTTTTGCCCTCCTTACAGGGAGAGTGCCTGTACCTGAATTTTTTGGGCTTTTAATATGAATGCTGATGGTATGAGATATAAAATGAATATCTAGTCATTGCCATTCTTCATTTTAGTACAACTTTTATGAATGAATAGTCTCAGAGGTTCATAAAATTTATTACACTGTTGAGCCTGCCATGGATTCCATTTTCATTACTTTTCTTGGAGGTGGTTTGGTTTCCTTGAGTTCTTGGAGACGCATCATTTTCTTTTGCTGATACTCCTCCACGTTATCATACCAACTCTTGTATAGAGACAGAAATAGTTCCTGTGCACTCTCCCAATTCACAGCTGCAATAATACCATAACCCAACACTTGAGAAAGATCAACTCTCAATCACTTATGCAAAGCTTTTCCATCTTACCACTGAGTAGATGTTTCTCTCTGCTGACAGCATCCATCAGTTGCCTGATCAAGGGGAGATCTTCCTTTGAAGGATCAGTGTCACATTCCAATCTGTTGTTTTGTACATGGTGGATAGTAATGGTGAAATTTGAGAGGAATATACATAGATGTCCCACTGGTAGCATGCATACATCCACTAGGGGAAGTGCTAGGGCATGGGTTTGATGGAGTTGGACTGAAATGCCAGTCTTGGTACGCTCCACTTCATATAGGAAGATCACAGGCACTCTGAGAAAGAACCAGAAACTCTTATGGTACAGTGTTCTGCACAAGACAATGCATGCAGCTCAGGTTATCAGCTCACTTGTAAATTGAAACCAGGAGATACTTTCTCCACATAAGGAACCTCTGAATAGGGGGGTGGTCAGGTTGCTTCTTTTTTTCTGATGTCTCTATCTTCATGTTGAGCTTCAACTGCTTTTCTATGCTTCCCCTACAGTCCAGGCAGAACAACTCTTGGCATTTATGATAATCCCAAAACCGTATGGTGCAATCCTGCAGAAAGAAGGAAAAATATGTAAATTAATTATTACGAGGGGGTGTAAAAAAATAAGGTTCCCTAATTTTTTTGTTCCAAACTTGTTTATTTTAACAACCAAGACATTATGTATACAGATGAACAAATATGAGTACATCAGCTATTTTTCAACATACTTACCAAAATTATTCAAGCACTTTTATTATTTTGAAAGCTCTGATAGTTTTGTGTAAAAAAAATTAGGAAACCTTATTTTTTGATACCCCCTCATACTTTCCAGAACCACTTCCATTCCTTTCTACTGATATTTGTGAGATTTTTATTTTCAAAATTACGGTAACAGATAGAAGCAGAACTTACAGCTGAGGAAGAAATGAGAATGTTTGCATCTTCTGGTAGGAACTCCAGCTGTAACACACATTCTGTATGACCCAAACAGAACCCATGGATGTCATAAGCATTTGGGTAGTGCGACACTCTGATTTTCTCATCACGATCACAGGTCACAATATAGTCCTCTTCCTTTGTCAGAGCCTGAAAGTATAAAAGTTGTATGCTCTCACCATATATAAAAAAAGGAAGTGGGTTACATCAACCCACTTTTACATCAAAACCAGGAATGCTGACCATGTCCATTAACATTGAGACATGTCCAAGGATGAGGCTTCCTGCAGCTTTGTATGGTTCCACTGAGTATGAGTAAACATCACCAGCTTTATCTATAAAATCAAGTTTCCACTTGAGGTTTAGGCATTTTAGTTTCAGGGTTAGTCATTAGCATGAGCTGGTCTCTCAGAAACTTCATATTTGTGTCTCAACTTTACCAGCCAATAAAAGGGAGGAGGAGTCTCTGTTCCATTGAATGCAATAGGCTCTTTTCTGCAGAGCCCACACATGTTGGACACCCCATGTTGAAACATCCCATACAGTGAGTTGCTTGACTGAGTCAACAGTAGCCAAAAATTTCCCATTGGGAGATACACAAGCTCCTGTTAGCTCCAAGGCATCATTCTTCAACTTTGACTTCCTGAGGAATTCACAGCAAGAAATTAATTTATTGCACACCAACCAATCTTGTCAATCATACCCAACCTTACTTGCATGGTTTCTCAAGTTGCCCATTTGCATCATCTTGATTGTTTCCTTTTGTTACATGGACTTTATATCTGGCTGTATCCAGGATCTTCTCTCTGCATGTCCCAGAGCTACATAATTGCCAAAAAGGAAGGTCAAAATACAGGAAATCCTCTCATATGCTTGAGTTTTCTTTTGAAGGCCTACTTTTCATTTTGATGGATGATGAGAGCTTTGGAACCACTTAGAAGGTGAAGGAAGTGGGCTCCTCCATCAATCTCTTGGCAGGACAAGAACTTCATTTGCATTCAAATGAATGGGGCAATCAAAAGGGGGGGATGCTACATAAGAAACCCAATGAGAAGTCTTGAACATCTCTTGCCAAGAAAGTCTCCATCATTTATATTAGAACTTTACCAAGATGATGGAATCAATACTTTAAAATGAAAATGTCTCCATATATCCATGATCATCCATGGAAGAGGACATATATAGGTCTTTTGGAGCAGATGTATCAAAGAATTCATATGAAAGTTAAAAAAAAAAGGCTCTATTACCAGATCTCAACAAGCCAGCAAAATGACTATGAATGAAGGCAGACATCAAGTAAGGGAAAAAATCATTTAAAGATGAAGTTGAGAGATCAGTTTCACTTGGGTGACTCTTGGTCAAGAAATGCTTCTACACATCTGAGACATTGCTGATAGCACTTCTCGAACCCCTCATCTCCCCGATCCTGTAAAATAAAACATTGCTCCAAATGGAAATAACTATCTAATGGAATTAGATATGTTACTTGAATAGAATGAGTAAATGGTAGATGTTTCTCACATAATATGGATCTCTGATGATGAGTTCCTTTTCTGGGTCATACTTGCCAAGTAATTCAATTTTTGCCTTATGTCCTTTGGGAGAGATGCGGTTCAGAGCTTGGATGTTTTCTTCATCCATTCCAAATATCCAATCAAACTTAAAAAAGTCTTCACGGTCCACCTGGAAAAATAAAATCATAAACTGAGAAAATGTGTTGACAGTATAACTGGAATTGAGTGTGCAGAATAAAAATCGTGCAAAGTGATCAATTGGACAACAAATAGCTTCAGATTCACCTGTCTGGCTTTGTGATCCATCGGCACTCCATTCTTCTTCATGCAGTTTCTTGCTCTACGGTCAGGAGTATTTCCTACATGCCAGTCTCCTAAAGCTGCACTATCAGCAGTCCATTTGTCCTTGAGCCCCTTTTTCTCCAAAGTCTGCACAAACACTGCCTCGGCAATTGGTGATCGGCAGATGTTCCCTGCAAGGATTCACATGTCCATCTATTTTGCTTGTATTGTCAAAATATACTAATACTTTCATGCAAATGGGCCTCTTTTCAAGAACATACATTCATGTACATACAAGATAATTCTCATTTTCAATTAATGCTCCCCTCACAGAAGTAGGCAGTAGGAATCAAGAAATCAAGACCAATAATTCTTGGCCAACCATTGCAATGTCATTTGATGAAGCCAAATCCCCTGCAATGAGTACTTTTGTTTCTGAAAAATTTTTCCTCACAATAAGGGAACCATGCCTCAGTGGTCTTTATATGAAATCATCACTTGAGACTTTATTTGTATACCAGTCCTTAATTGGCTCTAAATTGAGTCACTAACATAGGTTGTACTGGACAATGGTATGTTCTAGTTTTCCTCAATGAGAGATATAAAGGGATAGACTTGTAACTTATTTAAAAGCACAGACAGATGTGACTCAAAATTACAAGCAGCAGTTTTCTAAAAAGCATTGTCATCATGATATCACAGGTCCTAGAAGCATAACAAACACTTCTGACAGGGTAGTCCCAGTTCAATGAGAGGACAAGATTCATCGGATTATCAATCATATTGAAAATTCAATGAATTTATTGATGCTACAAGGTAGACAACCAGCAGGAAACTATCTAAAACCTACAGAGACAATAAACTTTACTTAATAGTAGTATTAGAGTTTTTGAATCAAGTGGTGGTCAAGGACAATTATAAGTTATCACAAGCTGAATGCTTTCATTCAAACAAAATGATGCTAATTTAAAAAGATTTGGAATATGTGTTGTACTACCGTGGATTCATTGTAATGATACCCTTGATTCCCTTGAAAATAGGTCTATTAGCCCTTTCATACCTGAACTAATTTTTAGACATGAAAAAAACATCCAGATTTCTGGAATCAATGAGACATAGGAAACATATTTGTTTATTTTAAAATATTTTGAAATTACATTCCCTCTATTTGATCTGCTCTGGAAGCCTGCAGATACATAATTAATGTTTTAAAGAAGTCATCAGATATAATGCATTGCTATGGTGAAGATGATAGTTATTATTTGGAGAATTTTAATAGGTGATGCTAAAAAATTCCCAAAAGTTGGTGGTGGCAAATGGCAACATTGGGCATAAAAGGGTTAAAGGATTTGCATTAAAAAATTCAATCACAGTTTAGAAGATACAAATTTTGATCTGTTTAACAATGAAATTTCAGAAATTCAGACCTAAAGAAAATGCTTATAGAAGAAATCAGTCAAGGTAAATTCCTCCTCTTCCTTAACCAAAGAGCATTTGCCACTTACTTCAAATAGTGATCCAGTTTCAATGAAAAAAAAAATAAAGACATTAATGAAAGTGAGGTGAATTATTTTCTTCCTTTCATGTCATGAAAAGTTATGCTAAGGTTTCTCTATCAATCAGAGTGTGAATAAGTAGACATTGTACTTGAGTTCAGCTATGAGTCAGAAATGATAGTACACAGTCCTACTTCAAGATTTGGGCATTGAGAGCACCAGAAAACAATTAAAATAAATGAAACCACAGGCAGCTTGGATTGCCTCTGTCAAGTCTGATGTCAGGGCCGAGGCTGACTTTGGAATCCTGTCTTTAATTTTAGCCTGTTGCAATGACCCTGAATAAGCATGAGTCTGACTCATTTCAAGCCACCCTCGGGTTGTTTAGATTAGGTTAAGTTTAAAGACTTTCAGCAGTCATTAAATAATAGTTTCTTGTGAAGTTCTTCTGATGGCTAGCTTGACTCGAAGTGAGAAAGGATAAAAATTTTAAAAAGGATGGTCTGGGGAACATTTAATCCTTTTGAGTAGCTGAGCTATTTTCAACAGAACTAAAGGTATATATTTTGGAAAGAATTACTATCTATGTTGTCTGTGGCTGGTTTACCACTCCGATGCACCAGGGTCATACTTTGCATCCTTGAGGCCTAAGTCTGTCCTGTATTGCATTTTTTTTGCTTGTTAAATATTTCTTAGCTGAGCTGGAGACAATGTGGGAGTGCACAGAACAACTGCATCTAGTGCAGTCTATTTTATTACCAAGGCTATTTCTGAAAATATACTACATATATTTCCCTTTTAGGGGGTAATAAAATTTGGTTTGAGGATCAGTTCAAACTGTAAACCTTAACTTTTTCAAGTTTCAAGAGGCAACCACAATAATTGAGAGTTCATGCTCCAAATTCATGCAGCACAGGATTGACTCATCTATGGTGATAGAGGCAGCTTTATATCCTGAGCCAAAACAGGTTAAACATATTTTTTTCATATTAGTTGGGATGAGTTGCATTAGGCTGAAATAATTTTTCCCACCCTCAAATGCTCTTAGTGAGAAGCAGCAGCTCAGAGCAATGACTTTACAACTGATGCACTCAAGTGTCGCAAGATTCTGAAAAACTGCAAAACCTTCTCATTCATTGGAAAAGTCAGACTCACAATGCATCATGTTTACCTTAATTTTGTGCAAAAGTCAATGCAATGGAAGCTCAAGCCAGACTTTCCCAACACAAGCTTTTGGAGAAGTCACACTTATGTAAGCCTGACTTTGATGGGAAAGCCAGTGCAGCTGACCCTAAGCCTTGGCCTGGATACTGTACTAGCAAGCATTGCAAAGCTTTCCTTGGACTAATGAACAAGTTCTAGAACCTATTGATTTAAGCAGTACAAGTATCTATTGATGGAAATATCCAGGATTAACATAGAAGTTTTTCACCCTGTTAGGTAATAGGATGCAGTGAACAGTTGCATTTATAACATGATAGTGATCAAAAGCTAGTAAAAGCTACAGGGTATTAAGATGAAACGTTAGCTTGTACATTGCTGAACCTTTCCCCCGTGCGATAATCTTCCATGCACTAATTATTCTCTTGGAGCTACAATAATGTACCTTTGGGGACTTCTGTATCATTAGTTAAAGAGGTACTCATTTCATGCTTGGGTCAGGTGTATCTTGATTTAATCCTTCATCTTAGTGCCTTCTCAAGAACTGCAACTATTAGACTTAACTAAAAAGCAAAATTGCTCATTATTTTTTCTTATTTCATACTTCATTGCTACACCAGATTCAGATGTGGAATTGGAAGAACTCACCAAGACAAACAAATAAAACCGATCCCTGTTTTGCAGCCATCTTTTCTTGAAGATGAACCCTGGGTGATCAAATTTGAAATTTGAATTTCACTATAGTGCAGTTCTCGTTAAGGCCCTAAGGACCAACGTAAGCAAGAGACCACCAGATCACTTGACAGAAACTGGGCGAGATTTGAATAGTCACATCCAACGCGTTGCTCTCACGTGGACACACGCAAAGGCCGGGGACATTCGTGGATTGGGCATATTCGCGCTGGGGGTCAACTCGTTCATTCTGCGGAGGTCTTCTCGGTCGTTTACTTACGTCTCGCTGGCCAAAACACATTTGAATTCGTTTTATGCCTGTATTAATGCGTGACGATTATTTCGAACGGATTTGGTGATGTGCAGTGGGAGAATTTTCGCAAGATTAGACTCAACAGACGATGACGTGTTAGGTGGGCCGTAAGAGATCCTTAACATGGCGATGTCCATAGGACAGCCGCAGTGAAGGACCAAGGCAAGCCGCTCCCGTCTCTCGACATCTGGCTGAGGAGTTCTCGGTTTCAGTTTCATGTCGGTTGGATTGACGTGGGAGCATGGCACTAAGAAAGGTCAAAGGGAACCTCGAACGCCTGTTCGACAAAAATTTGACGGACTTGGTCCGGGGGATCCGAAACAACAAAGACAGAGAGGTTAGTCACCCAACCATTCGTCTTTGCTCACATTTTACATTACGCCTTGTTATATTGCATATGCGATAGGTTAAGGCCCTGACCCTATAGGGTTAAAATATACTCCAAAGTCTACCTTGTCTTGCTAGTGACCCTTTGCATTTGGTGTTCTGCTTTGCAGGCGAAATATATTGCTCAATGCATTGAGGAGATCAAACAAGAACTTCGTCAAGAGAATATCTCAGTGAAGGCCAATGCAGTCGCTAAGTTGACATACGTAAGTTTGCCCTTAGTTTAGGGGATTAGTCTATGTTGGCCTGTGATGGGAATGCTTGTTCAAGACATGGAAGTGAGATATCTAGAGTAAACAGTGAATGAAAAAAAAAAACTTTCAAGAGGGAAATAAATAACTGTCACTAGGAAAAGAAGAGCAGATGGATTAAGGGGAAGTATACATGAAAAAAAGACAAATCGTGTAAACAGAAGAAGAAGAAGAAAAGTCTACTTATGAAAGGAAGCAGGCAAGGATGTTTGCATCAATATAGACCTTTCAAATTTTTAAATACTATTTTGGTTAATATAGTTATATCCCCTTATTTGTTATTTATGTGCAAAATTTTTTTTAGTGGTGAGAAAGTGTAATTATGCAATTACATGGATCATCCACTGCCTGGTGACAATTTATTGGGAGGTAGCTACTTGACAGCCCTTGAAAGTGTATAGTGCCCTTGGGGATTTTATTCACTGCTGAGAGGCCTTTCACCACCTTCCACCTCCTCCACTATTCTAGGCCATCCCCTTTATGTCTCCTCTGCCCCTTTGGCCCATGAGCAAAAAAATACACCAGTCACTTCCTAAAATCCTAATCATATTTAAATTCATATACCATGCATAGTAATGGCAGTTGTGTGCCCATAGTCATTGCAATTGGAGTTAACAATGGTCCACTGACCTCACTCCAATGGAGACGATAACATTTTTTTTTAACTCTCTGACCTTATAAGCGAAAGAGATACTTAAAAGAACTTGAAGATACACACTTATTTCTCTTGTCACCTCTTCAGAGTAGCATTAGTGGTCTTTACTTTACCTGCAGGTTTTTATTTGGATGCTCTTCTTTCCCTCTGGTGAAATTTTGACTTGCAATTTATATATTTCTTCATCAGCAAGTAATTTTTAAAATCAATTTAAAGCCTTATTCAGAGGGAAAGTAATTGATATGTATTTATGTATATTTTTTAATTCTATTAATTTAAACCCAAATTAGATAGCAGGACAATGATGAGCTGCAGTCACATATAAGGTTTGTTGGTTCTTTTTTTCTGCCTTGATTTACATTTATATATGTATGTATTGACAGCTTCAAATGCTTGGATATGATATCAGCTGGGCTGCTTTCAACATCATTGAGGTGATGAGTTCCTCAAAATTTACATACAAGAGGATTGGATACCTTGCTGCCTCACAGTGCTTCAATGACAGCACTGAGGTAAGTGTTTTACTAGCCTCTTAGGTACATATCATGTAGCTACAAGGATTTTTAAGTATTGTTATTGGATGTTTAGTGGTATACATGATTTTTGTTGATATTGGATATCAGCATTCATTTGATAACAGTATTTTACTAATACATATTTTTTTTTTCAAAGGACATTTGAAACAAATGTGTTAGAGGAGATCCCAAGAAAATGTATGGGGGTTAATTATATCAACCCTTATCCAGTTAGTCTTTCATGGGTGATTTTCAATGGGCATGCATAGTCTGATTGTCTGATATCCTTAGTTAAGGTATTTCTCTAAAAAGTTTTTTATATTGATGTAAGTACAAATAGCAGATGTTTCCCTTTACACTTGGGAATATTGGTCAAAATGCAAATGTTAGAAAAGTAGTTTTCACCGTATAAGTTTTCCAGAGTAAACAGCATCAATAGGCTATTTTTGCAGTATGATTGGTTTTATAGGGGAAAGGACAAGCCTTTTGCAATGGGGATCATTGTCCTTGAATATTATGTTGAATTCAAGATGATATAGACCCTGGTTGGTCTGTGTGGGTAGGAAAGAATAAAAATCCCTTGTGCACTGCCAATAGAATCCTTTTTGGGTCTCCCTCCAGTCTAATTTGTGTCCTCAGCTATCCACAAGATGTATTGGAGAAAGTCAGTGTTAGGTTGTTACTAGCCTTGATGGGCAAAGTAGGCTTCCATTATTTCTATGACCTGTTATTTCAAGTACAACTTGGCATCTTTTCAGCACATTCATGAGCAACTCCATGTAACAATTAGGAGCAGTGGAGGGCGTTATCTAGAGCCAAGCATGTATCAAAATTAAACACTGAAGAATGCTGGTCTGACAAGTTCCTGAATTCCACCTGATGTTCCTTCATTTTCTGAGACTCAATTGAATTTGAAGGTCTCCCCACTGTACTTTCCAGCTGTGCTTATGTCAAATATGAAAGGAGTAACTGGATTAGCATTAAATAGATGAGGTATTGGCCTATAAGTAGAGTCCACTGTATGCCTGGATACAATGTTTTTATGTATGTGGAACTTCACTTGTTAGGAATTAGCTATATTGGTTTTTCAAGCTTCAGTAACACTATATAGAATCTTGGCAAAATATTACATTGCAGCTCAGATTTATGAATATAAAATTTGAGAGACTGAGTTTGACAATGTCCTAATTATATCTCTTGAACTAGGTATTGATGCTGACAACCAACATGATGAGAAAGGACCTGAATAGTGTGAATCAGTATGAGGCAGGGATAGCACTTGGCAGCCTGGCATGCTTCATCAGCCCTGATCTGGCCAGGGATTTGGCCAATGATGTTATGATCTTGGTAAGCACATGATTGGTCCTAAAAACCTCATGAACTTGGTCCAGGGGATCTGGACCAACAAAGACAGAGAGCTAAGACTCTATTGTTGTTGCCATTGTTGAAAGTTTTTATGCTACAAGTGCATTGTGGATGGATTAGTATAATTTTGTGGAGACCAATTCTCTCAAAGTTATACTAAACCATCGAAATTAAAATTGAAATAGTATTTATTATTGTTTCTACTCTTCTCATCTTATGGGTCAAGTTTAGCATGGTTTGTTTTCACGTTCATGTTTTTTGGAAATTAAGAACTTAAAAGTACAGACTTCAAAATCCCAATTATTCCTAAGCAGGTTACCATTAAGTTTTGCTGAACTATCCATGAAGTTCATGTGGCATCAGATGATGGCAATTGGAGATTCAGTGACTTTCCTTGCCAAATGAATGGCTGTATTGACAATTAACTGAACAGGGTAAAAAAAATTATGTTATTGCTTGGATACCAACTTCACTCTCTTAAGATTACTTTGAATAAGGATTTTGATACCCCAAGGTAGTGAGAGTTAGAATATCTTATCCTAAATACAGTCAACTCTCGTTTATCCAGACGATTTTTTTGGCCCTGATGGAAAACCCATAAAATCAATGTTAAAATTCTCGGTTTAATCTGGACACCGTTATTCCAGATCTCCCGTTTATCTGGATGATTTTTTTGACCCCCTGGGTGATTATTTTTGTAGCAAAGGAGATGGATTATGACAGAAAAAAGGGTTTCTCGTTGCTTTCCCACATCTCCATGTCCCCTTATCCTAGGATTGAGAAAAGAAAATCTATCTACTTTGATCTAATCTTTTCCTGGAATCAGGAAAGGGAATTGCTCTTTACTCTACTACCTTACACTCCCTGCAGTCACCTCCCCTATTCTTCAGTCAGTTTATCTACTTCAGTTACCTCCCTCATCTCCTGTCAGCCTCATTCATCCGTTTCATCAGAACCTCGAGTTTTTTTTCCTCCCTTCATCACATGTAAGCATCTATGGCATGATCCGACACGAGAAGAGAAGTTGGCAATTTTGAAACGATTGGATGCAAGTGAAAATCAAGTTGATATAGCACGTGATTTGCTTATTCCAACGTTGATAGTGTCAGATATAGGATATATAGAAGTGTCGTGATGAACTTGAACAGGGTGCTGTCGTAGTTTGTGTCCCCTTTGCAGAGACGAATGCGAAGCGCACTCATTGAGTATGCATGAGTCAGAGCAAATAAAATTAGGAATTTCTTTTATGTGACTGATCGAAAGAACAGAGTCCAAGTTTTCCGATTCCCATGCAAACAATGAAGGCCTTCTTTGCATGTATTAGGTGCAGTTTTTTTCTCTAGGAAAAAAAGAAGAAAAATGAATGGTCACTTGTCCAGATACTCGATAATCTGGATGAACCATTAATCCAGACAAAGTCACCAGTCCCCTTGAGTCTGGATTAATGAGAGTTGACTGTATGCTCTGGTCCATTTAAATGAGTTCAATAGAAAAGTTTGCTTCTTTTTGTTTGGTCAGGAAAAGAGGAAACAATGGAGATTATGTATACTGTATTCCTAGTACCCAGTTAAGTGAGAACAATAACATTTACGTTTTTGAGTGTCCCTCCTATAGCTGACCTCAACAAAGCCGTACCTGAGGAAGCGAGCCGTGCTGCTCCTGTATAAAGTCTTCCTCAAGTTTCCTGATGCACTGAGGCCAGCCTTTCCACGTCTGAAGGAAAAATTGGAAGATCCTGATCCAGGTATTTAACCAAAGATGTTAAGCTTCATTCCATTAGGCTTCCATTAGGCCTTCAGATCATATGGCATGTGGAAATGTGTCATGGTAGACCACACTTATTTTATGATCATTAACACATTCACTGCCAGACCTTCATGTTGACCACCAAGGTACTTCAAGGTTTTATTTTACTCTTGGTATGCTACAAAACATGAAAAGCTGACCTGTCATGTGGCAGTCAATGTGTAAAAGTTACATGGTGAGATATACTAAATCGACTTCTGTTGACTGGCAGAATTGGAGTGGATTTTCTAAATTTACTTAAGTCTGTGGAAAAATCTTTTAATGTGACAGATTTTAAATGAAAGTAGAAGATAATGGCAAGATTTCAGTGAGTTGTTTCATCTTGCACTTTTCCTTGCCAATTAGGCACTGTCTGCTTTCAGCTTGAAAGAGTGATTTGATGTCAATACCCTATTCAATTGTTCATATCATGTGGAAGGTTTATTCAAGCACACATGGGACATTTGGTACTGGTAGTTTATGCCAATGGCCTACTATGTTGTGAATTGAAAAAACATTGGGCATCCAGGTATAAAGTGAGCAAGTTAGGCCTAAAAATAAATAAATAAACCTCACCTGCCCTTAGTAAGCTATATCCCCTGTGGGTGTTTTTTGTTTAAACTTTATATGTCTGACTTCATTCACTAGCAAATTTTTTTGCTTATTTAAGTTGTTCTTTCTTTGAGTATTCTAATTCTGCAGTCTTCTACCAGCCAGATGCTATGCTTATATCAAAGGAAATTTTCTTTTAAATTTACTGTTGTTCTACTAAGTTCAATATGATAGTTGCCTCTTTCAATAGATTTGCTTTTCAATTCTGTATTATATTCAGCAAGTTTAAATGTTAGTTTTCTTTTCTCTCACTTAGGAGTCCAGTCAGCTGCTGTCAATGTGGTTTGTGAGCTGGCCCGAAAGAACCCCAAAAATTATCTTTCATTAGCCCCAATGTTTTTCAAGCTCATGACATCCTCAACCAATAATTGGATGCTCATCAAAATCATCAAACTGGTATGCACCCTGACATGTCTTGCATCAAATGAGGATCTGAGAATTCTTCAGAATTCAAACATAAGAGCACAGTGGATAACTTTGAAGTAGATGGTGAAAGTTTAATGCAGAATAAAGCCTGTTTTGATTCATAGCATAAAATTGCAAGTCAACATTGTCATTTTTCCAGTTTGGAAGCTTAGTGAAACGAGAGCCTAGCCTGGGAAACAGGCTTTGTGAGCCCCTCATACATATAATCAAAAGGTAAATATTCAATTAGAGAAAAGTAGACTTCAAGCATGTGAGCAAGAAGATTGTGGGCACGTTCCTTTGGTTTTTCAATTAGACTCGGCGTTGCAGTAGAATTGCTGTAGTGGATTGGCTCTGCACTAGATGTTTTGTTGGTTTTCTTTTCAGTTTGGTGCATTGACTCCTCTGGAGAAGAGATTAGGAAAAAAGCTAATGGAGCCTTTGACCAATTTGATCCACAGGTATGGCATACTGGTGAACATATGGGTATGAATGTACTTGCATGGTATTTTTGAGGTGTTGCTGCTTTCACAATGCATGGACTATTAAAAGAAGCTTGGCATAATTTTTAGTTTTGGCTAAGTATTACCAGAGAAGGCTCTGGTTGTCTCATTTTTGTCTCTTGTGCTTAGTTGTTGTTAGACACAATGTTGGGAAAGTTCCTTCTATTAAATAAGCAGTATTTGATCATTCAGTTTGGAGGAAAAGTAGTCTCTATTTTAAACTTTAGTATGATCCCTTTAAGATGATCAGATTGCTCCTTGATTACTTTTCAATAATCAAGGAGCAATTAAGCCCAAAAAACTAGTCAGCTTGTTGAGCCCAATTGGTTTGACTAGGTTCATAGGAGGCAAAATGGTCATGTAGGTATAGAGTGACAGGGAACTTTCCATTGTTGCTAGTTGTTGACTTATTCAAAATTATGGGCAGAAAAACAAAAAGCTATGGAAAGTTTCCTCTTTCACAAAGAAAATTGTTTGATATGAATGACCTCAGACAAAAGCAATCCCATTATTGTAATGCATGATTACAGAATGTAATTCTGTTACAGTAATTAATACTCCGGAGTACTTTCCTAAGACTTTTGGTAGAGGGGGTTTACATTTGTTCTTGGTTATTAAGCAATATTAGCAGTTTTTGAAATCAGTTGCTTGGGTTCAACTAAAAGCAGATGTAATGCAGTGATGAGGGTGCATGGGGAAAATTGGTCATTTATTCAATTTTTAACCAGGGATGATTTTGTAAGAAAATATCTGTAATAGAAAGTGATCGTATGACCAGAGTCATTTGAAAATTTCATATCTGTTCACCTCTAGTTGCTGGAAAGTAAAGAAATCTGCATTGTTTTGTACCTCTCAAGCTTTTATACAAGCTATATGTACTCCCATTACAATAGGGGACAGATGGTATCAAGCATATGACATCATATGCTTGATGTATATAAAGTAACATATTTGAATGGCACTAATAGAAAAATGGCTATTTCTGATAACCATGTTGAGGCTCATCTCATGTGTGTTGGATCCCTTGGCTTATGTTTGCATTGAAAACCCTGGATAACCGCTTAACCTTCAACCTCATAAGCTGTAAGCAGATGACTCTTGGGTCATCTGCCCTCCCAGTAATGGTAGTCAGACTATTTTTCTTGAGGTTATCTTGGCGATAATAACCACAGGTAATTATTTTAGTTTTTAATTCAGGTAGTTATTTTGCCTTTTCACAAAGTGGATTTAAAATTGCAAAATATTAAATGGAAAATATGGGTAATTTGAAATCAGCAAATAGTCATTGATGTGACTGAAGAAAAAATAATGATTGAGTAGTCACAAAT